AAACCTGTAAGAAGTGTATTAAGGGTCATAGTCTCAATTAAAGATATCTGAGCATCCTTTTGCTCTTTGGATCCTAATGTGGTGGATTTTTGAATGCATTTTCGCATTTAGGACTTGAAGACGATTGAAAAATGTTAATGCTGATTCATTGGGCAATTGTTTAAGACGTTGAAGGTCATGAATTAGGGAAGGTAAATCTCTAGAATCACCAAAGTGTAGAGTTAATAGTTTCTTTATTTCTAGATATGAATCAGGATTCCTAGAATTAATTAATTGAGCTGCTTTACCGCGGAGCTTATTTTTAATGTGAATCACTAAAAGAATTTTTTGTTGCGTTGTTGCCATATTATAAGCACAATCACACGCGTTTATAAAATTTCCTAAAAAGATTTGGTCACCCTCAAATTCAGGTACGATACAGAAAATTTCCGAAAGTTTATATGGTTCAACTTCCAGCATTGTACTAGGTTCGTCTGATTGAGTTGCCATTATTTTAGGTTTTAAGAAAAAGCAAATAAATTTATAAGAAGTTCAAACACAATTATTTTTTGTTTTAAATATTGCCAAGTTAAACTTGGAGACTAAAATTTAATCAAAATAATTATCGCGCAACGATTCTACGTTGGGAAATTCAATAAATAGGTAATTTTCAACCTTGGGTAATCGAACGTAATAAATTCAACAATGTTTCGAATTAAAAATAAAATTATTCGTAACGATTCTTAACACTTACAGTACTATTTTCATTGCTGCCTTTCGAGACGGTTGATGGGTTTATCCTTGTTCCGGTACGATGGGCTGTCTTCGTTGTTCCCTAGATTTAGGGGTCGGAATCTGCCGCCACTAGTTAGAATACTCGTGTTCTAGCAACGTGAACAGATCCTACTCCGAATTCTTGCCTCTCGAAACGGTGATGGAAGGTTCCTTGTTCCGGCACGACTGGGCTGCGATGGTTCTTCTTTCCGTCTAAGGGATTGGAATCCGCCGTCACTAGTTAGAATACTCGTGTTCTAGCAACGTGAACGGATCCTACCGACTGCGCCAATTTTTATATTTCACTTTTCAAAAATAACTTTTTAAAAAAATGTATTTATTAACTTTAAATTAAAATAAAAATCAAAATGAAATTGGACGTAATAACCTCGTGACGAGAGAATGTTATTAGACCGTTAAAATCAAACTAAAAATGGACATAATAACCTCGTGATGAGAGAATGTTATCAGACAACGTGTTACAATAGAAATTGGTATTTATAATAAATTTATGCTGACGTTGACGGGGTCGACGGCTGCGGATGTTGCGACATATCGTTGACACGACGTTTTCGCAATCGTTGCACTCTTGCAGGTCGGTGGCATTTAACCCATATGGACAATAGGATTTCCGGATATAACATATATATATATATATATATATATATATATATATATATATATATATATATATATATATATATATATATATATATATATATATATATATATATATATATATATATATATATATATATATATATATATATATATATATATATATATATATTTGGGAATCATCATCCGAGAGTTTAAACCCCTCATTAGCGCCCTCCACCCCCCTCCAAACAATATATAAACAGGTACAGAGTAAAATGCTTGCCAGTTTCAGTCAAGCTCTGAAGAAGCCACCAGGTTGATTGGCGAAACGCCAGCAATTTCGACTTAGCAAAAACCGACGCAGGAGGAATCCAGAAGTTTTGTAAAAAGCTTTACAGTAGCCTGTGCAAGTTTCTTGGAAAAAAAAACCATTACTGTAGTTTTGTCCGCATTAACCTTGAGGCAATGATTTTTAGAAAATATTGTGAGCTCGTAATTTAATGCAGAAATAACCTAATTGGCTTTATCAGTGAGAAATGAGCGATACGTCTGAATATCACCTGCATGAAAGTGATTCAGACATGATAAGAAGACTTTTGAGAATTGCGGTATATACATATAATATATATAAATATAAGAGGATACTTTATCTATTCTGCCACCAAAAACCACCGCCTACTCACGATTGATAAGCTTCTGTGTAGATACACTCAAACCAATATAGTTCAAAATCGATAAAAGCAAGGGGTGATTAAATGTAATAAATACCTGAGAATAATCTAACAAAACTAACACAGTCAACAGTCTTAAAATTTAAAAAATTGGAAAATTGGAAGTGAAGCAGCTAAATCCCGAAAGGGCTCAATGGTCAGAATATTAAGGCCGACCATTACAGTGGTTTAGTTTTAATATTATTTATAATTTCAAGTATTTAAATTGCTCTTACACGTTGAAATTTTAAACGATTTTTACAGAACCAGTAAGTTTCACGATCTGGTACGAGCTTTGGAATAGAGTTAACAAAGTAATCATTAATTACATATACATTTCTGAAATGAACTGAAGCTAACAGATCTAATTCTTTTAGAGAAGAACGAACATTAAAACAAGGCAAATGAAGGCAATAAGCAAATAAAAAGAATATAAACAAAGAATGACTGAAGGTAATATCATAGAATTTTTTTTTAAAAACTAAGTAATAGAACTGATAAAATGGGAACGCTTTTTCTTAGAAATAGGAACAAAAATCGCAGAGAATACCTGCAAAAATTTGGCTATTATTCTGCAGTTTCCTTTTTTACAATTTTCCGTTTATTTTGGAATTCATTCTGGAACAAAGTATAATTTTCGTAGGGAATATTGGACCACGCATTTGGCAATAATCATGATAATATATCTAGATTATTGCAATGAACCTTTAAATACATGAACATTTAGGAAACATATCTAGTTTCATAAACAGGAAAAGTTCTGTGGGTAAATCTTATTTCTCACGTTTTCCACGCAACCATTTGCAAAAACCTTATCGAAATAGCAAAAAATTGCCTAGGTGTCGAACAAGAGGTAAAAAATAATTGCCGTCCTGGCACTACGCATATTCATTTTACCATGGCGGTGGTCCACTTTAGGAGACTCTTGAATATGAGCAAGCTGTATTTTATTATATATCTGTTATATTTTAAACAAAGTATTAACGACCTCACACTAACAAGAAGAAGGGAGGAATCCTGCAATTTAGCTGTCGATGATCAGTCGCACGTATTACTTTATTTAATATTAATTTATGTTATTATGACGAACTTGTAATAAAAGCTGTACTTAATACAATATAATCTCCCTTTGTCTCGTCATTGTTATGCTTTGCACATGACTTTAAGTCTCAATTAAGAACCCTAATGCAATTAATGTAATTTTTCTAGTTGTAGTTATATTTTTTCATTGACTGCACTGACAACTGCCACTTGTTATCTTTTTAAAAACAATTTAAAAGGAGAAATAGAATATTTTTGCTTTTTTAAATGAATAAACGTGTTTTAAAATTAATAATTATAAGTATAAAACACAATAAAAGGTGAGATAACGCTCAACCATCGCCTTTCACTAAAAAATAAAGAATTGGACGAACTTATATTTTAAAATGTATTTACTTAGCCTACAAAATCGAGTAATGTGTTCCATCAAAAGGTAGGTAATGTAAATTATTGATCATTTGGTGCAATGACATGTTTAATAATGGAGTTGAAGCTACTTTAGATTCGACCTATAAAAAAATGGATACAAATTGATATACTTAAAAATTTAAAACATCTGTCTAGCGGTTTAAACAGAACATTATTTCTCAGAAGTTTTAATACTCACCTATTTACCTAATTATATACACTGTGTTTAAAATTGCTTCTAATCACAGGCTCACTCGGTAACCAGAAGAGTTAGAAATAAAATAGAAAAATGTTTTAAACTGCCACAGATGAATATTTTCTGGTGTCCAGTGGTGTAACAAGAAACCTAGTATTTTTCAAACTAACCAAAAATTTCCTTTATCGTTCTAAAATGATGTATCACACTATGCAGGTAAATTAACTCTTAAAAACGCAATATTATCCAAAAAACATGCCTTGACCATTGAATTATATTCAAGTCAAAGCTATGAAATAAATAAATATTTTCTATTTTCCAGAAATGTTTGATACACTTGAGCACACTTCCGAGTTTTTATAGCATTCATCATTTTTTTTCCGAAGGTCTAAATGTTAGGTGCTTCATAGTATTGGCTGGTAAATTTTGTTTTTTAAGTAAGGCTAAAAGAAAAAAAAACCCAATAATGGGAGATCTGGCGACCTAGCAGGCCACTTTACTAGTCCATTTGTACCAATCCAGCGATCGTAAAAAAAATTTATGAGCCCGTTGAAAGAATTGCAATTTTTTTAGCAATAAATGAGGAAGTATTTGATTTAAAATTTGCTAGATGTCTGTCGGAAGATAAATTATTATTGTGAATATGGAATTTAATTTTTTTTCGTATTATAAAGCAAGCGACACTATACTCGAACCTTTCTTGTTGCTGACGTTTTCTTGTTAAAACTTGATTCTCCGTATACCAATGAATATTACTATTATCATTGCCAAGTAACCTTTTTCTTATAATATCGCATTTTTAAGTTTTCGTTTACATGCATAAAATACTGAGTGTTCCATTTAAATTTTGCACCACTGGATTCTGGGTAAAAATATCTCTCCATAGCACCTTCTTCTATGTTACAGGGTTTGCGAAATATCAGCCAACGCCAAAAATCGCAAAATTTGTATTTTACTCTGTATCTCAATCACGAAACAATAATATAATTCTGTTTACGGCACTACTGGTTATCTAAAAACCCTATGATTACAAGGGATTTGGGACACATTTAACCAATATTTTATAATTATTAATATATATATTATTAGTATGACAAAGAAAACAATCCCCATTAATACTGCGACTCTAACTCTAAATAAAATATTCCTCACAAAATTCAAGTTGGCTGTATTCCAGCTCAATATACGAAATTCTGATAATCAGCGTAATTTGCATACAAAATCTTAGCCTCAAACATCACAAGTCATCTTAATTAATTAATAAATCTTTACATGCTGCTTGGAACAATCAGATGATGAGCCTGAGTGCAGACATCATGCCGCAATATCGTCAAGAGGCGCCGAAAACTCCGCCACACATTTTGCTTCATTATTGCGCGTTCAAAGCGATCTGGGACTGGATTATCCTGTGCTTAACTTTTTACACTGCTATTATGGTTTGTAATATTGAAGAAACAACAAATTTGAAAAAAATTAGTATAGAAACAAAAGGTTTGGGATTTCCTTTGGTAATAATATGGAAAAAACTAAAATCGTATTCCAAATGATACAATCTCACAAAAGAAGATTAATTAGTGCTAAGTTTGTTACTAATGGTTATTAGACCACGATAATATTGTCCAAACTTTGATTTGTAGCAGAGTCTGATTTATGATAGAAGAAAATAGGTGCGGTTATCGCTAATTTTGCAATAACGGTGGCTGAGATAGTTGAGATAGTTTATGTGTATTCAGAAGGAGAAGAATTGAAGGAAGCGATGAATGAAGCAGTAAATATAAAAAAGCTGGTTAGGTATTTCTAGTCGTATTCATTTTATACAGGAAGTTTTTTAAAGACAGGTTGGTAATTAAAAAATTAAAAAAATATATATAAACATAATATCTTATACTTTATTTCCTTTGATTAAATACCTATATACAGGGTATCCAACTTTGGAAACTTTAGCAGTGTAATCTCACGTATCTTGAATAAACGGAATGTTTCGTAGACCTTTTCGTTTCGGAAAATATTGCATGTTACAGAAAGCAAATACAATTACTTTCTGATAAGTTGGTTGCATATTGGATTATTTTATGGTGTTTTATGCAAAATGATTTATGCGATACATCTTGGTGAATTTTGAAATTGATTTGATTGGAAACTGAAAATTATTGATGTAGGTTTTTATGTATTTAATACAAATATTTTCTAGAAATTTTATTGAACTGATTATCAAATTGTGGTTTACTAACCAAAATAGCTTAAAAGTTTGCTTTTCAACCAAATAAGTTTCTCAGTAGAAATGTCTAGATAGCAAGTAACTAGTGAACCGCGGACACTTCTGCAGAGAATTAATGATGACACTACCTACACCTAAGTATGTAATATTTCATACTGAAATTGCCTTAAAAATTAAAACTGTAGATGTTTTGTTTTTATAATAACAAGAATAAGTAACTATATTGTTTTAACCGTTAATAAGAATAACATTGCCAAAATTATATACCGAAAACCTTTGGAATGGAATTGGGAGGTAATTAGGGACAAGGATGCATCTAAAGCATTTAAAGGTTCAATTAGATAGAAACGAAAATAAAAGATTGCTAGTCAGCATTTTGCTCATCCAAAAAAAAACATATATTCAGGAGACAGTTCTATTAAATGTCTTTCCAATTTCCTATGAGAACGAACTTTTCAAATGCTCTTTATCTAGAACCAAGCGAAAAGTAAAAATTTACACTTCGAGAAGAAAGCGCGAACTTGCACTTTTCTACTTTGCCGCTAGCCGAGCGTGAAATATTAGTTCTATGTTCAACTCCATATTCTATTTTTGAACATTCCTAATAAAATACTTCTGTATATTATGTAGACAAGGCATGAATACGTTGTTGCGATTATTTAATTGTGATATTACTAGAGCATCGCAAATCATCGGTTGTAGCATGCTCTTTGCTTTTTGGGTTCTGTCATTTTAAAAGGACGATACGAATTTACATCATACTTCACTGCATCTTATTTGATGAAGAATTGAAGTGAGGATAGTTTATCATATCCAAAGGCATTGCCAAAATCAAGTATAAATGCCAGAGTGCTTTCACAACTTTTCTCAGGATCTAAAACTCGATTGTTTCTGGGGTAAAATACTGTAAATATTGGAAAATATAAGACCTGTGCTTGCAAGAAAATATTGAGAGAAAACACATTCGTTATTTATGTGGATAATATACTATACAATTGTAGTGCAAAACAGTTGCAGTAAAGTGATATTAATACTCTCAGTTACCGTTGCTTTAATCTGAATAATGTTGATTATATTAAGCACTTCAACTATAACAGTCAAACTCAAAGATTCAGTGGAGTAGCTATGTTAACATCATCTGCATTATGAAGGCAATCAATAAATTGTTTGCAAATAAATTCTACTTTATATGGTCAAATTAGTTGAAGAATGTTGCCTTTCATTATAGCGAAATTACCTAATAACTTTGTCAGTCACACAAGACGGGGTGGATAAGAACTTCTCGTTTTTTGTAAGCTACGAGGGGAACTCAGTTGACAGTTTAGTTCTACATTTCAGTACTACATCTAACTATAAAATATTTCACAGCGGCATAACGCGATTTTGTAAAGACGACCAGGAATATTTAACTAGTGGAATGAATGGCTATGAAACAATATGGAGTTCAAACGGTTCTCACTAACTTCAACATTTACTTTTCATTGATGTTTTAATCGGACCTCACCTAGCGTGAATGAATGAATGACTCAAAATACACGATATTTTCTGCAATCTTCTAGGTTCCTTACAACGTAGCGTTTAAGAACAAAACATCCGAAGATGTTTCCCTGTTGGTTGTTGACTCAATCGTGGATGTGATATTCTTTATCGATATAGTGTTAAATTTTCACACCACCTTCGTCGGACCGGGCGGCGAGGTCGTTTCCGACCCCAAAGTGATCCGAATGAACTACCTCAAGAGCTGGTTCATTATCGACCTATTAAGTTGTCTGCCATACGACGTGTTCAACGCATTCGATCACGACGAAGACGTGAGTATTATGCGATTGAATAACTTGATAAAAATTTACGGTAAATGTTGAAAAGTAGCATGAAGGGTTGCGTTAGACGTTGTTAGAAGCAACACTCGTTTAGAAATTTGAAATTAACTGTTGAAATGATAAGAAATTGTCCGACTCATGGTTTTGTAATTGTGTGTTTTGTAACTTTTAGGGAATAGGAAGTTTATTCAGTGCATTAAAGGTAGTCCGACTTCTTAGATTAGGACGTGTAGTTCGAAAATTAGATCGATATTTGGAGTACGGGGCTGCGATGTTAATACTTTTGCTTTGCTTCTATATGCTGGTAAGTATGATGGATATTATTATAAGATCATAAAATTTTAAAAAATAATTCACACACGCTAAATCCGTCGCACGTCATCATCTAGAAAATTGGCCATGTTGCAAAGTTGTGATGGAAATCAGCCCAAGATATCGGATTCTCGACTATTTAACTGGCATTTTATACTCACAATGACTACAGTTGTTAAATTAATGTAAATTCGAAAGGAACATTTTGAAGTCAAAATAGTTTTAAATACGTTTTATCAAATCTTTTTGATGCTCTATATTTATTTTAGGTGTTTTAAAAGAGCTTTAATCTAAAAATTTTACGCATAAAGTAATTTAGATTTATTGAATAACTTTGAAAATGTATACATTCCTAATACACTTATTGCGTTCTTGTAAAAATGCTCCACAAGCTATTTAACATAATGCAATAAATCAGTAGGTTTTATCTTTTACTATCAGTAAAGTGTCATTCGCAATTGCATACCAAATCTAATACTCTTGACATTGCATCAATATCTTTTATTGCTTTTTATAGGCCCTATTAGGTTATTACACCCCGTGTGTTGCATTATATATGTTTCTAATTATTTGGAGAAAAGGAATGACATGAATGATAAAGATAAAAAGAAAGTGACTACCAGATTAGTCCCAAAAGAGGACAGTTAAGCAGGTCACTTGTTGGAGGACCCATTCCATCCATCGCAAAATCTTTTCCATCAACATTAGCAGATGAATGTGATACTCAATGCACAGAACATTGTGTCCCATTCACTTTAATCCTTTTTGCAATTTTCTGTTCTCTGCAATTTGCTAACGTATGCAGTGGTGCTCTGCCCAAGCAGAGAGAACAATGGTTAATAATTTTCTTTGGTTTCCCAAAGTGTCTACTTTGAATATCATTTCATAAAATTGATATTACATATCAATAAAAATTATTTATAAAGTTAAAAAAATCTATTATATCGCATTTGAGATTATAACATAAAATATTCTTCAAAAAGCTAAAATAGGCTTCGAATTATTTGACTTTATGCCAGTGATGTCCTAGAAAATACCCAGCGCACTTCATTAGTACTATCTCTACTTATCCAAGAGCTAATAGTTTTTAAATACCGGCGAGGAATTTTAAAAAATACAAATTAAACATGTTGTTTTCTCCAAATCAGGTGTCATATTCTCATTTGAAATTTATTTATTTCCAAACTAAAATTTTAACCCCTTCGGATTTAGAAATAAATAGACTAGCAAAAGTTATTTCTAAATGGACACTTGTTTAACAGTAAACTGGTACCTGTTTTTTAATGTTTTCAGTAACCGAAATGCACAAATATGCAACATGCAAGAATACAACCTTCTTATTTTAAAAGGAAATTATAGTTGACTATGATTTTTAAAAAGTGGATCTGGTACCTGTCATGAAAAACGGCCGTAACTGAGGGAACTTGAGAATAATTTAACTAACCTTGAAGGTTTAATTAAAATCAACTTAACATAACTAAAATGAAAAATACAAAAAACTACCTACTGAAGAAACGCTCTGCATATGTTTTGAGAAGTATTAACAAAATTACAGTAATTGTAATTCTTTTAACTGTAATGTACGCGGTAAGTTCTTAACTTACTTATAGTTCCTTGGGATTATTTTGGAACTTGTTGGAATCCTTCGTAGAATTCCTTCATATTGCACATCAAACTTCCTCTGTCATATAACCTAAGACAAGCAAAGGGGACATTTTCTCAAGATCATAGCTAACTTAAGAAATTGTATTCATATTTAAGACATTGAAGAATTATAGAAAAGATTTGAGTGCGCCACTGCATTTGGTTCTAACGTCTGAAATATTATAAATCACAAAGTTCTCGGCGGATCTAGTTTTCGACGAAGCATTCTTTGGACATTTTTTAAATATCTATTGTTTTAACCTTATCTCATCTAATCTCTGAAGTGAGTCTCCACCTTTTTCATCTTTATGTACTTATTCTGTTCACTAAACGGAGCGTCGCGCCACAACAGAATAACCAATTTTGTGTCTACAGGTCGCTCATTGGTTAGCGTGCATTTGGTATTCGATAGGAAGATCCGACGCGGACAACGGCGTCCAATACAGTTGGCTCTGGAAACTGGCCAATATCACCCAAAATCCGTATTCTTACGTGTGGCCGAACGACTCCAGTACTCCCGAACTCATCAACGGTCCATCCAGGAAGACCATGTACGTCACCGCGTTGTACTTCACGATGACCTGTATGACGTCCGTTGGGTTTGGCAACGTGGCAGCCGAAACCGACAACGAGAGGATATTTACCATTTGCATGATGATCATTGCGGGTATGATTTACTATCTATAATTTCATCGTAGAGTATACTATTATTTATACAGTAAGAGCAAAGCAATTGGGGAACCGGACCAACTCAGAAATTTGAAAATAAAATTATTGAGTAAATCGTCCCATAGAAAATAACAATAATAGTTTATTTGCTATAAAGGTTGCACAATCAGTAACAATAGCTATATCTAATATTAAATTTTACACGCAAAGAGGAAACTGAAATTCAATTCAGCACCCAAACTAAGCAACATTGTTTTATATACAGTGTGTTTCATAATGAGATGCTAATCCTTGATTCCTTAGATGTGTAATGAAATAAAACAATACACCTTTTCCTCATTTCCTCAACTGTTTCAGATATTTTTTTGAAAACTGGCAGGGCTTCACAATATATAGAAACACTTTTTTTGGGTAAAAATTATTTTTCTACTTTCTCTAGAAATGTCGGGATATGCAAAAATAATTTACATTTTTAAAATCTCGATTTATTTACTTTTTGACCTATGATGCTTTGGTAGACTCATCTTTCTGGTCTATATAACATAATAAAATCATAAATAAGTATCTAGCAATATACACATAACTGCTTTTTCTCTCTTTCTTTGAAAACTCTTCCTCAAACGACAAAATGTCAAGAGATCATTATTGCCAAAAAATAAACCGCGTCTTCAAAAATAAAATTTATTTTTGAAAAAAACAATGGCTTACCATTTTTTTTATATAGAAGTATTCAATATTATGCTTACCCCAACTTCACTTTCCAAAATAGAAAAATATTTTTCACCCAAAAAAATGTTTCTGTGCATTGCGGGCCTCAACAACATTTCTAAAGCATTTTCAATAAAAACGAGAAAAAACTGTTTTTTTTACCTTCAACGCCTTGTATATCAAAAATTAGTAGAATTTTTTCTTAAAATCATTCAATGAATTACACCCTTAAGGATCAGCGTCTTATTATGGAACAAACCGTACGTCAATTAGTTTTGGTTAGTTAAGAACTGAAATAGAAATAAAAGCTTGCCTTAGATTACTAGAATTTTAACTTTTATTATTAAACATTTTTAAGTTAGAGGAGGGTGGGGAAAGGAGGCCCACCTCAAAAATTAACCAAATTTTTTTTTTCGTTTTTTCTTCTAATAATTATAAATTCTGGTTATTTGTACATTTTTAGCCCTTTGCGTAATACCAGGGGTAAAATGGATAATTCTATGGATTGGAAAATAGCTACTAATCAATAACGCTTTTTTTATGAAATACTTTTAAATAATTATAATTATTATAAATAACCTTAAAATAGTGGGCCACGACAGCCAGAAGCATCTCCAAAATTTGAGTAAATTTAGTTAAAATTAGTCAAAAATAAATCGACATGATGTTTAAAAGCCACAAAAAATAATAAAACGCTTAAGTGCCCCCCCCCCCCCCGCCACACTATAATTAAATATATATAACACTCAAACATTTTTTTAGTTGTGAAAGTTGAAACTGATAAAGATGAATACCTAAAGACGAACATGTTATCTATATGTTATAAGTCCAATATCCGAAGGTAGTTTCATTATTTAAACAGCTATTGGTTAGTTAATCATACAAACTTTAAAGGTGGCAGCTTCAAATGTTCGAAACATAAGAGATTAAAAACCATTAGATAATGGTTTAATTTTTAAATTTCAAATTATATTATCACAACTCAGTCAGCACTATCAAGTCATCTTAAAACCGGTATACCAACACGTACTCAACGGGAAATGCAATATGACCAACCGAAATTTTGAAAAAAACATTATTTCTAGATTTAGCTAAATGAAATTGCACAATTACAATTTTTGTGTTAATGTTTTTGTAACCTAGTGTTTCACCTCGTCGATGATCCTCTCCAACTACTAATTCTATTTATAGTACATTTAGTTTTTTAATTCTAGTTTCAAATAAAATACTATACATATCTTTAAACAACTTTTTTGTTAATTCTCCAGTATCATAGGCTCATCATATCCGAGGCTCACTCTTATCCTCCATCGGTGAAAATAAAATATAATATAATATAATAATAACCCTTTATTAAATTGCAAGCAACATCTAGATGGACTTGGACTTCGAACGCCTCGTATATGCTAGCTTATAAGCCAATGCTCTTCGCATACGTTTTGTCGATTAATTTCACTGTAGGACCCTCAATTGGTCGCACCCTAATTTACATGCAGAGCAGTATCTATGGTTCACCGCGGCAAGGTCATAAGTTCCACCAACCTTAATTGCCGAGGTCACAAGCAGCGCGCTATAAAATGTTTGAAGCGGATTTGCTGTTATATTGCGGATCGAGTATAAATCTGGCCATCGACGGCGTTTGCTAGGATTTGGATTGTTTGATCGTTTCACTCATTGGAATATCGCATGTGTTGTCCATTTTAGTTTCCATGCTTAGTTTTCGTTGAAATCGCAGTTTTTGCTTCTGACTAGCTGTGCAAGAAGGTTGTAATTCTATGTTTTTGCACGAAAAATTATTGAGACACCTTTTTGAGTCATCAGATTAAAATGGATTAAAAAAATCAATACAATTTTGAAATAATTTGGAGAATGTTTGAGTAACGATATTTGCTAAAATTTGCGATGATGCGAAAATATGGCAAAGTATTTTAGGCTAGAATTCGATTCTTCGCTACGATCTGATTACACCTGAGTCCTTTCTTAAATCATTTGCTACAGGAGGGTGGTTCTTAAATTACTTCGAAACTAACCAATAGATCTTAGTTTGTTGAAATTGGATGCGTCACCTCTGAAATAAGAAAAATAGACTCTGGAGCACATCAACGTGCTGTTGTATGCTCTTTACTTTTTAATGTATATATCAACAGTTTAGTCCAATTAAAAAAAAACGTTTGGAAAAATTTCCAATACAGCGATTAATGCTCGGCAGATATGTAAAATGTGTTAAAACATCTAACTGATCAATAAAGAATCTAACTTTCCTTCTCTCATTCACCTTTCATGAGAATCATTTGTTAAACTCTATTACAATAATGCAATACAGTACATTTATTTCCTTAGACAATAATATATTGTGAACAAAAATCATTGTTCACACTAACTTAAAAAAAAAAAGCAAAAAAGAAACATTTCTTAAATATCTAGGAATAATTATAATAGGCGCATGAAATGGGGTGTTCTAAAAAAATGAAAGGACGTGGATTATTACGAAAATTTTAATATCTTAATTAATTCTTAAGAATTTTGACAATTTTTTTAGACATTACATCGCAATACTCAAAAATGCTTTCTAAAATTTTATCCGTGACGAGACTTACTTTTCCGGCAAAAACCAAAACAAAACTAACCAAAATTGTGGAAACCCACCTGACTTATCATCTTACAGCAAAAAAAAAAAACTATTTCAATAAAAAGAACCAAAAATATGAGTATAGTGTGGTACTAAATAATGAAACTAAAAAATCATTTCATACATTTATCAGATTGTTTAAAATGATGATTGTTGATAATAGAGTATAATGTGATAATGTTTACAAACCTTCTGGATTCCTCCTGCGTCGGTTTGTTGATGAATTGAACGCTCATTCTGTTGACCTCTTCGAAGCTTACCTGAATAGGAGTTAAGATTTTCTGGTTGGTTATAGATTTCTATGGATTCTTGGATTTTTCGTTCGTTTTCGTTCAAAATACACTTCATCTCAACCTTCCAAAGTCCACACTTGCCACTATTCTCCTTCATTACATTCAAAACATCACTGAATACATATCAAAAGTTTTTAAGATTTTAATCGGTAATACTAAAATTCTGGTAAATAATCCTTTCTTCTTCCAACGAAAAATCCTAGAATCTATAGAAATCTATAAGCAACCAACTAATCCTAACCGCGACTCAGGTCTTTACCTTTAGCTGCTCCCCAGTCAAACAATATAAAGGGTGATTCAATAAGAGTTTCCACATTACAATTTGAAATATTTTTGAAACGCCGCTGTATTTGTTTATTATCGTATGAGATTTCTAACCTCAAAACATAAACAAAATTAGTCACGGAGCAATATATGACTGAACAACGTGTAAAAATTGTGCAAGTCTATTATGAAAATGGTCGATCAAGAAAAAATGCATTTCGGGCTCTACGTGAATTTTTCAGCGCGCAAAATCGACCTTCTGAGAGGACAATTTGGAATGTGGTTCAAAAATTTGAGCAAACTGGATCTGTAACTAACCTCAAAGTCCTTTACGTGCTCGTGCAGGTCGGTCAGATCAAAATATTGCCATTGTTCGCGAAAGTGTAGCCGAAGATCCAAACACATCGATTCGTCATCGATCGCAGCAAGTGGGTCTTACGAATTCAACCACACAGCGAATTTTAACAAAAGACTTGCATCTACACCCATATGAAGTTCAAATAACTCAAGAGTTCAAACCTCGAGATCATCAACAGCGCCGCGTGTTTGCAGAATGGAGAACAAGGGGTTCATTTTTCAACGAAAATCATCTTTAACGATGAGGTACATTTTCACGTTGGTGGCTTTGTAAACAAACACAATGCTCGTATTTGGGGATTAGAAAATCCAAGAGAGATTGTTCAAAAAGCAATGCGTCCTCAAAAAGTGACTGTTTGGTGTGCATTTTGGTGCGGAGGAATAATTGGCCCTTTTCTTTTCGGAGAACGTTGTTACGGTTAATGGTGTTCGCTATCGAAACATGATATCTGATTTTTTCTGGGAGCAGTTGGAAGGTATGGACATTGAAGATTTGTGATTCCAACAGGATGGAGCCACTTGTCACACATCCAGAGAAACGATGCATATGCTGGGGGGCAAGTTTCCTGGTCGGATTATCTCACGTAACGGCGATATCAATTGGCCGCCGCCATCATGTGATATTTCTCCCCTAGATTTTTTTTGGGGGTATCTAAAAAGCAAAGTGTATAGAAATAAACCAAACACTAATCCAGAGACGAAACAGGAGATTAGACGCGAAATATCCGGCATAGAACCTGAATTGTGTCAAAAAGTGATTGGAAATTTCAATAAACGAATGTCACGTCATGCCACATGAGTCGCGGGGATCATTTGAATGACATCATCTTTCATACCTAATTGTAATACACTAATCTTGAATGGCAACTAAAAATGTTTGTATATTTTTATATTCTTCCGAGTTTTTTTTATTATTTTAATGCGGAAACCCTTATTAAATCACCCTTTATAAGCAGGTACAGAGTAGAATACAAGCCGGTGTCAGTTAAGCTCTAAAAAGCCAACAGGAGGAATTCAGAAGATTTTTAAATAGCATTAGAGTAGCCTGCACAAGTGTCTTTGAAAAATTAAAAAGAGTATAATGTAATAAGATAATTAATCTGTTCTATTAATAATAAAATTGTATTATTAATTTTAACTTTTTTTTTTTGGTTTCAAGTCAACCAGCATGTTCATATCTTGCATTTTTATATATATGAAATGGCACATAATTATTATAATAACAAGTTTTAAAACATCCATAATGCCAAACCGAGACTTGAATAAGGAAAAGTTTCACAACTCAAAAATCAAAAACCTGTTTCCGCCAATTTCTCTGGTTCAATTTTCTTAAGTGGATTTTTCCCTTTCCTTCGAAATATATTGTATATCTCCACATATAATGAAACACCCGGTTCATACAACTCTCCGTGGGAGCATAATTTTCAGTTATCGTCGGAAAACTAACTGAAACTAATTTAATTTAATTTCACCGCTCTATATTGAGTTGCGACTTCATTAACTGGTAATCTGTACTTTCCAACCATTTAATTAAAACTATGGAACTCTGTTGGTGATTGAAAAATATATTTCTTATTTTAAATCCGATTTAACTAATATATATATTTTCGTTTTTTGTCCCACTTCAACAATTTTATTTGTGTCGCAAGCAGTCAGATCGTGTTTCTTTGTGACGATTATTCGACCTTGTTGTCCGTGAAAGTGAACAAAATAGGTTATAGGTTCTTTTTTATACCAGTTTAATTTAGGCTGAAACTTTTAATACATTCTTACACGAAAACCGTTAAATAAATTGTTAATTTAAAATAATTGTATTCCCTACAACAAAAATAAAAATTAAGTGAGACAAAAACGAAAAATGTCAAGGAAACAGGCGGTTTGACAATTAAAGGTCAAAGTAAAAAAGTTCGAAACTTCCGTCTGTTCACAGGATATTTTTGACATAGTTTACTTCATACTATACGATACTATAGTATCGTGAAAAACGGATACATAAAATATTAGTAATTACATATATATGCCCACAATGATAAAAAGCGGCCAATAAAAAACTTGGCAGTGATAGCTGACCGTCTGGTTAATTTTCATCTGATTAATAATACCATTGATAAGACTGGCAATATTAAACGCATGAAATCAAACGGTCTGGATTGAATATCTTCCTCCATCAGGGACCATTTTTGGTTTTGCGGACGACCAAGTTTTCCTATACGACGATGATTCTTGGGATAATCTTAAAATCAAAGTGGAAAATGACTTCAGTAAACACTTGACCTGGTTTACACATATGTCACACACATGGTGAATGAAGAAAAAACAGTTTTTATGCCATTTTCATTCAATAAACGAGTTTTCCAAATTTTAGCACTTTAGATACACATACAATAAACAACCATTCAATAAAGTGGACAAAAAAATTGAAATACTTAGGAATAACAATGGATACACAATTAAAATGCAATAAATATTTACAAACAACATAAGGCACTGATTTACAAATTTAAATATTTTGGAAACAATACAACAAACAAAAATTGGAAATTATGCAAAAATGTTTCCAAAAAATAATTGGCTTTAGATATTTTCAAAAATAAAATAGAACTACAAATATAACAAAACATTCCTACAATATAAAACAATAGAGAAATGGGAAATGTGATAGCAAATAAGTATAAAAAACAAATAGCACAAATTTTGTACCATTTTTGCAGGCCCATTTTTATAATTTCCTAGATGACGATTTATGGCAGAGATCCATAATTTAAATATCATTAAGTGCCTTTAAAAAACATCTCAAAAAATTATTCTATCTCTAAGACTGTTAATAAATATAAATCCATAAAGAAGAAAAATTAAACGTAAAAAATTAAACGTAAACTTATTATGGTTCCTCTTCCGAGGCTTTAAATCTGTCGCAATTATACTTTAAGGGTCGCTTCCACAAAGTGCGATAAGACAATCAGGTTACCAAGGTTACCTCCCGTGTCTCAAAAGATTCGACCCTTGGTCCCCTTTTTTTTCTATCTACACCTTAAAGATTGTCTCAAGTGCAAGTCTGCAGATATTGAAGAATATACTTTCGCCCTTATGAATCAACAGATGCGTATGACCTTCTAAACGCAGATTTGGAAGTCATAAGGAATCTTTGATGATTCCACAAGCTAATTTCAAATTCTTTATGAAATTAAAAAGGAATTAAATCCCTTGGTTTGTTCACAACTTCAGTTTGAGAAGCATATTTACTTGTATAATGCCTAAGTCTTATTGTGCACTGAAGCTGCACTATGCTAGCAGGCGTTGTCTTAACAAAAAACTGATACAAAATCTCTGTGAATCGTTAGTGTTGTGACATTTTGTTTATTGTGGTACCGTATTTATAAATTATCTACGTCCGATCGAAAATGAACATATACACATAATTTTAAGCTGTCGACTTAACTTCTCACTTCGCGAGTATAATCAACAACGCTTAAAATTCATGAGCTATTTTGCCTTAATATGGAACTTTGCGAGAGACATCATATCTTAGCATTTGTTATTAAAATTAAATACACTCAAACGCCAAACTAAGAGGCTGACTAATAAATCCGATATAGACTCAGCACGCAGCCTAGTCATTCCACATTTTGCTTACCCAAACAAAAAATCTCCAATATTTGAGAAAGCTTCTCCTAAAGCGTATAATCTCTTATCTGCCTTTCCAGAAAACTCAATACCTACTATGTTTGAATACAAACTTAAAACTTATTTATTTGACCAAAAACTTGGTCCAAATAAATGTTAAAATGATAAATGGCTAGCTATCAAATTGTATTTATGTTTTTATAGTTAATCAATCGTCTTTTTTATTTGAATCATTTATTTTCTCTCCTTTTCGGAAGTTAGGTGGAAGAATAGCTTCTCGTTGTGTAATTAATTCATTCGACTTTTGGTTAATTTATTATAATATTGTACTATAACTATACACAAAATAAAATCCATCTTTATCTTCCAGTCCCTACATATCTATTAGAACGGTTTGAAGGTCGATATCTACATTATTTTTCAGTGAGAAGTTTTTATTGCGATTGAAAAAGAAATTTCAATGTAGGAAACACCCTATATTCAATCACACTGCGGTCGATGTTAATCGTAACATATATTATCAAAACAAATTAAATCTTAAATTAAATTAAATTAAATATTCACAATTATAGCACTACTTTACGCGACTATATTCGGTCATGTGACGACAATTATTCAGCAAATGACGTCAGCGACTGCAAAATACCACGACATGCTGAACAATGTTCGAGAGTTTATGAAACTACACGAAGTCCCGAAGGCTTTATCAGAACGGGTCATGGATTACGTGGTATCCACGTGGGCGATGACAAAGGGCCTCGACCAGGATAAGGTACGAAATATTTTGAGCGATTTTCACATGTTTCGAAAATGTTACTAAATTTATGATGCGGTATAATCGTATTGAAATAATTTTTCTTTAAATACTATTTCAATAATTGAGGTCAACCCCGACATCAAAAACGCAGAGGAACCATAAAAAATGATGAAAAAGAACAAAATCAACGATTTTTAATTAGATTGTCGAGTTTTCGCCATATTTTGTTAAAACTGTAACAATCGGCGAAGGAATAGCCACAATGCTGCAGTGTAACTTAGGAGCGTCTATTTGAAGACGACATTATGAGAAAACCAAAAACGAAACTTTAACAGTTCTGAAACTGAATGATTTTTACTTACAAAAATGTACATCCGCCGACTACAAAAAATTGTACCAGAAAACGCCGAACTATCAAAAATAAAACAGAAACCTTGATAATTGAAACTATTTTATGGTTAATATCACATAATTTAAGTAAAGAACATAATAAAAATTTATTGCAGAGAAAGAAAATTTCAAATTATTTAAAAATGGCTTTACACATGACAATGTTAATTGGGCTTGGAAGCTGTCGGATGTTTGCGGTGGATTTAAGTATCGGATCGTTCCTTGCCGTTTCTCATTTCTTACGGTCACGTGACAAGCCGCCCAGTGAATATATTACATTCGTGCTGTTTGAGGGTCGAAAAGCGAGGTAAATTTTACAATAGAAAGAGAAGGCGAAGTCATGGGGATTGTTGGGTTTTTCTTGCTCAATTATGTAAATGGGAGAATTGGGTGATCTCGTTGTTTGATTTTCATTTTTATAGTGAAAGATTTATACATAATTTTTTTTGTCGAAACCATATCTTCTTTAAACATTTGTATAGAATAATTTGTGGTTAGGACCTTTTTAAAAATCTTCGAAAAAAAGCTTATACAAATTAGAAATTCGTAATATTTTAGTCTTCCTCGATCGATTTTAAGCTGTAAGTCACTTTTAAATTTATATTATACAGACGAATGATGTTGAATACGCTGATGATACGAATGATTGATTGAATGTCAAGAACGCCTGAGATAACTTTTCTTTTTTGTCATAGGTTCTAAACTTTTGTCCGAAGGACATGAAAGCGGATATATGTGTCCACTTGAACAGGAAAGTGTTCAACGAACATCCGGCCTTTCGTCTGGCGTCTGACGGTTGTCTCAGAGCTTTGGCGATGCATTTCACCATGTCACATTCCGCACCCGGCGATTTGCTCTATCACACCGGAGAGTCGATAGATTCTTTGTGCTTTATAGTGACAGGTTCGTTGGAAGTGATACAAGACGACGAGGTTGTTGCTATTTTGGGTGAGTTTCCGATTGGCTACCATTATTTTTATAGTTTTACAAAAAAAAAGTGGTTGCCGGTAACTGAAACTGTGTCGAAAACTATTGCAACCACCGAACATTTAAATGTAAAACGTCAATTTCCAACAATGACCAAAATATCTTTGATAATTCGTCGTTAAAAGTCTTGAGTAACTAGTCTTTTCAAATTTAAAAATATTTCTAGTGAGACACTGAAACTGATTTATCTGAAGTATCCCCAAATTAAACGCTCTGTATATCCAAAACGATTAGTTCAAAGTCCTTTAGACCTTACAATTGTGAAGTCAGTACAGAAAAGTTTGTCCAGTGAGTTTGCACAAAATAACAAGATGACTATTGAAACCAACATCAATAACATGCAATTTCCGAATTTACAAATGCTTTCAGTTCATTTACCAACAATTACCTTGAGCATACACATATCGCTACTATGTTTGCGACCTTTCTTAACTCTTTTATTTGGTATTTTGACAGTGCGCTTCCACTTAAATACAGAAAATGTATACCAAAATTAAATAAGATCAAATTTTCTGATAAAGTACTACATAAGAGAAAAGAATTAGAAAACTTAAACTGGTTACATTTAAACTACAACAAATTCAAAAGAAACTTCGAAAAATACATAAGACTCAAAATAGCAAATTGATTGATAAAGCATAAAACAAAACAATAGCAAAACTAATAACAAAACTAATAACTGACCAAAAAGTTATAGCTAACGAATTTGGCAAGTACTTGTAGAGCATTATAGAAAATAAATTATCTAGTGAGTGAACTTACGGGCGGCTTATTACACAAACTATGTTTTGGCACCTACCACGCCATGAAATAATAGACATCATTAAAGCTACACCGTCCAAGAAATCAGATAACATCCCGGTTAACTTGTTAAAGGAATGCAGGGTAGAACTTCAGTCATTCTCTCAAACGTAACTAATAGCTCAGTTGAACAGGGAATATTTCCTCAAATACTTAAGCAAACAGAAATTGTACCAATTTTGTGTAAAATATACTAAAAGGTAATCTATGAACGTACAACGAGTTTTTTAAACGCCAATCAAATTTTCTCTCCATGCTACGACGGCTTTAAAAGAGGATATTCGACATAAAGTGCCAGCGTCGACCTAACACACGTTCGTATGAACAAAAACGAATACGTTGTGGTTCTACTCTTGTCCTTAAAGGTTTGGCCACACATATTCAGGAAGCGTACGAGACGTTTGCGTGTTGACAGTTAGAACGAGACTCGTTTCAGAGACATAAGCCTACACTGTTCCAGGGTACGTACGACTTGCGTGTACAATTCAAATTTGAAAAAGAAAAATATGGGTACACAGCTCCTGGAAAAGCAGATCCAGAGAAGGCGAATTTATCACATTGTACCCACATTTCATGGACGATGAGAGAACATTTTTTTAATATTTCCGAATGAACACTACGAAGCCATATAAGTAAAAAAGAAGACACGTTTTGGAGATCTTCAATTCAAAGATAATATAAATTTTACTTATTCAACAATCTATATAATATGTAAAAAATGCATTTATTTTCCACAAAAGATACAAATTAAAATTTATTTACTTAACCTAAAAAAATACAAAATTAAAAATCCAGCTAACTTAACTACTTATGGTGAGATAGAACTGGAAAGGTTTGTTCTAAAAAAACAGTCGAACCAACACAAGCGTTAACCGGTGCTCAGTTGGGTTGTGTCTTATACTGATTACTATAATTATTGCTGCTAATATGGTAGTGAAAGGGATTGAGGCTGAAGAGGTGTGAGACAATATCCTTCTGAAGGTGCCGCTAAGTTATCTCGATTACAGGGCTGGGGTGATTGCGAAGACGGCGCTGAATGGAATTGAGGAGAATGGAGAGATTTGAAAGAATTCTCTCGAGGTGAGTGAAAGTTATCGTGAGGATGAAGCTGATCCAGATAGTACAATTTCTCTTTGGCTTGGCATTAACTGCCTAATTTCTAGATCTTGAACAATACTAAATATTTTTGATTTACCTTCATTCATTAACCTTTTGAGAGTATGCGATATAGTCTGTAAGAAATCATTAACATGATGAGGCGGTTCAGACGGAGGTAGACGCCGGTTAGCATTCTCAGATTTTTTTTCTTGTAAAATGTATTGCATTAGCTGGAATGATGGACTCTCTGCAACAGTACGTTTCTTTTCCATCTTTTTCCTTTTTGGTTGCGTTGGATGAGCGAATGGTTCTTTAGAGCAATTGACATTACTATGGGACACGTTTACTTCTTGATTTGAAGTGTTTGGGATAGTTCTCTCATCTTCCACAATATTTTCAATTTCTTGGGATTCTTCTTCTTCTTCGAAAATAGGAAAGTTCGAGGAAAATACCAGGCATTGAGGAATACAAAATTATGCTGGAAGTAACACAATTATTGAATTCGGCAACAGCTAAATTTAAAAGTAACAAAAAAAAAACAAACAAAAAAAGAATGTTTAGTACTGTTGTTTTTCTGGCATGTTTCATATAACTTTTTTGCAGTGGTTTTTTAATTTTGTTGTTTGTGGGATTACACGATTAATAAAAAAAGTGTTTACACATTATTTTAGCCGATAAAGTACTCTATAATTTATTTCACCTTGCCTGTTATTTACATATCTTCTGCTATTTTGCGCCAAATTATCTCTCGGAGATCCGTGTTTTTATATTTTGCGTCTTTTAGATCGTACAGTGTAGGGTACTTCATCATTTCTTCTAATAACCTCTCTACATTCATTTTTTTTGTGAAAATCTACTAGATATCTACTATACACGCAGAACCGCTCACGAAATCGGCACGAAAAAAATAAACTGAACTCGTCGTCTCGTCGTTGCTGGGCTACGGACGGGTCTAGCGTTCGTCTCGCACTCGCGTCGTTTATGTGTGGCCAAACGCGTTTAGACCTGTGCAATTACTAAAAAATGAACATCATGCGAGTTTCGTGCGACAGTCGTCACGTGTTCATCTCGTTCATGTGAGGTCAGACCTTAACCGTGCCTTCGATACCGTAGATCCTTAATTTGTAGCAATAAAAGTGGATAGGCTAGGGATACCAGGTTGTATAAATCACATTTATCATTCTCCCTTGACAGATATATAATATTATATTATATAATAATTGGAAGCAAATACACCGAAAATAGATATAGGAAATCCTCAAGGGGGCGTTTTGGGCATCACAGCAGTAATATCAGATGCTCATGAGGATAATTTAATTTTTAAAGTAGTACACTATGTAATGAAATATTGTAAAGGTACTAAATTTATGCGGAAAGTTTGGTTAACGTCGTTAACACTGAAATGAATCTAGTCCGAACGTTGATATTTAAAATCAGAAAATGCTATGAAGTTGAGAAGATTTATTTCGGAAAAAATAAATTAGCATTTCATTTTTGAAGTGAAAATTATTGAAACAAAAATTCCAAAATTTAATTCTTGTTAATACTCAAAAAACCAAGCAAGTTGTTATAAAACAATTGTTTTAATGTGCGATTTCAATTTGACTTCAAAAGTATATCCCTCCGTGTTGTACTGTTAAACTGAGCATGAGAACTAAAACTAATAATAAAATAGAAAAAATGCCCTTCTGCGGGGTTGTGCCAATTTTTGAACATGATTTAATCAAAAATTAATTAGTTCAAATATTTTTGCCTAAATTTTGCAGATTTTAATATTTGCATATTTTGTAAAGGTCTGACGACGCGGTGTTTAAAGTTTAATTAATTCACGTTACCGGGTAATTAATTTAGCGGTCGAAATTAATTTTCTCCCTAGTCATTCCGCCGCGTTCTGTTTGGGTTTCTGCGTTCGAACAGACTAAGCACATCTGCAGGTGACTTAGTTTAATACTTTTGTTCTCAAAAAAGTTCCCTTAAACTGTCACTAGAAAATCAATAATTTAATTTAACTAAGTAAAAATAACTAATAAATAAGCAATTTGTTAATTTAATCAAAACCAGACTTCACCTTAGGTCATGCACTTACTGATACTGGTCGTTCCCTAACCATCAGCTTCCACCTAAATTATCACATCTAGCCCATACATTTTTCAACCCGAATCTTTGAAATAGGAATTAACGCATCTCATCTTAGTATTAAGATGTCATACGTCCGATGAAAAACACCACTTCGCTAGAATGACGTACACGATCAATTATCAAGCATTCGGAGAAAACAACACCAAAACTAGGTTCCCTATTTGACTTAAAATTTCATCGTTAACAGGCATTATCCGAAACTTATGTACTACTTTTTACATTTGTGCCTGAAACATAAAAGGGTATGCCGCATTCGTCGATTTTTGTTGAGTTTCCCATTCCGTTTGTCACAATTTACTGTGCCACAAGGGCATGGTGTCATTCCAGACATTGTCAATGTTATAAGGAAGAATGCTTCAGATACTGTCAAGCCCCTTAGCCAATTTTAGAGAACATTTCGGGCTTCTTCAATCGAAGTCTTTGACTCCCTATCTCTCCTTAATATTTATGGCAGACATTCTTGACTTCCTTAAGCAGCCCGGTGCGCGTTGTCTCTCAATCGACATTACCAATGAACTTCTTATCGTACTCTCCTCTGAAATCATATTGGGGGGTGGGTGGATGATTTAAATCTTGAGAAGTGTTTTTTTCCTAAATCCCAAATCATTTTTCTTTCATCTTCATTTTTTAAGGCAGAATATTCGGTAACCAAGACCCAACAGGGAACAGGTACTACTCTTTGCATGTTCTTTAAGTCTAAACTCTTCTCTTGGAGAACATTGAATAGTACCCTTGTCAGTTGTGAGCAAAGAAAGAAATTGAAGCTGACCTTGACTTTGCTTGAAACTCCTCCAAAACCATAAAAGCATATTCTTCGTCCAAAATAAGATCTAGTTTTGTCTATTAACATGTGTCGGAGCCTGAGCCACGTCCTCTAAAAGGAATGGATCTGAAAACAGCAATAACTTCTTTGTGAGTAGAAAATTATGTTTTGTTACGAGCAAAAGATACACTTCATCGACATCATTTCCGAGGAAAATGGTTTGCCTTGAAAGCGTATTATTAGGTTTGTTATTTGTTAATTTTCATTTGATAACTCACTAGCTGGCCGTTTTTATGAAAAATAAAATAATATTAACAAGTAAGTTAAATTCATAATTCCGTATTGAATGAAATGTCACTAATATACATTAAGTTGTCAAACACCTTTTCATTATTTTGAATACATAGTGGCGATCTTATTCTAGTATTTTGAGATGCACGAAGAATCTCCAAACCATTTTTCCTAATTTGATTTCTAGCAGCATTAACTCTGCTGGCATATCTACTTCTGTGGCAAATTTTGATCTAACTAGTTTCTTATACCCTACCCAAAGTGCTCAATCATGGTAAAAAAAACATTTCCAATTGAGTACGTAAGGGATATTCTCCAATAATTCGGCCAGATCATTTTTAAGGAAACTTACGGTATTTGCAAAATAAAAGAAAGTTGCTTCTTCGAATAAATATTTTGACCACTGAGAATTCACTGGCAAAATTCTAAACGATTTGAAAAATATTGGGGTTTTACATTCATTTTGAATAATGGTAAGTCCTTGTGTTTTGGTCATTCTACCAAACTAAAAATTCACTTTTAAAAACTCATTTTTATAATGATTTATAGTTGTGAAGAGATTGAATCATCCTAACTTACTACCGTTTTAGGAATATTGGTGGTATCTGTGATGGCGTTGCTATCTCCTAATTCTAATAACAGTGTAATGTAAATAAAAAAAAACACCAAAAAAGTCTAACCGAAAACCAAATAACAATCTTGTCAATTCTGTTTGAAAACCTAACCAGCATCCATTTTCATCGAAAACAGGTCATCCTAGCAATATCACAACTTTTCCGATTTTATAAAAGAGTTTAAAAGTCAAGTCACAAAAAATTTATGACTAAAACGCCATTATTTAGGTTCTGCGGCTCCGTTAAGGGCCGTTTCTCGACATACAGTATATGACCAAAATTGGCTCTGACGTACAATTTCAAAATATTTTCGCTTTTGCAGAGTTGTCGGTTCTACGTGAAACCAGTGGTAACATTGAAATTTCAAATGGAATATAATTTTTTATTGCATTTTCGAATTGAACATAAAAATTTAAATAATTTAATCTAATTTCTCCTACCATCTTGTTCTAAAAAAAAATTGTTTTTTTAAACCCCGCTTCGGTAAAGCTTGATATTTTGGCGTAAAAACCAAATTATTTAATTAACCCTTTCACTTATGATAACTAATAAATGTACTTAAAAACTGTGCATGCAACAACATTTTATACATGGTGCGCCGAAAAAATGCACTTTTGTAAGAAATAGAGTAATAATAAAGTCATTTTAAATGTAAGTTTCTCAATTCCTTTGACCAAGTCAACAAATTATATATAAAATGTAATTATCTTTTTCTACTCCCGTGTGTAAAATACCTAATTACCCACCGATCTAGCGTGCGGGAAGCGTCACTTTGCCACGTCAGTTTCGTTTCCTACGAATCCGAGCCACTTCGGACATTCATTTCCGGGATTTTACAGCACGGGTGTGGGATCAATCGAATATTTTCGGAGATATTTCTCACGCTTTGAATTTTGACGTTTGTCAATTCTAACGGTCATGTCAGTGAATGTATTCGTGTTGTTTTGCGAAAATGTACTCAAAAACTAACGGTTGTAGAAAAAGTATAGTATGCATCACGTTTGGTAAACTAAGTCACCAGTACCTTAAGCACTCGCTACGCTGCGCTCCGCTCGTGCCTAATAAATAAACTCGTGACTCAAATGCCGCTTACCACACTTGTTGCATAATATACTCTTAGAGATTCTTGTTTTAGGAATAATTTCATTATTTCCTGAACAATAAATTAATAAATGAACACTAGTACTATGTACTACTTATATTTATTTACTTTTCGTAGGCAAAGGCGACGTGTTTGGCGACTCCTTCTGGAAAGACAACGCCGTCGGTCAATCAGCTGCGAACGTCCGCGCTTTAACTTACTGTGATTTACACACGATAAAGAGAGACAAACTGTTGGAAGTGTTGGATTTTTATCAAGCGTTCGCGAACAGTTTCGCCCGTAACTTGATTTTGACTTACAACTTACGGCACCGTCTCATATTTCGCAAAGTGGCGGACGTGAAACGGGAGAAAGAGCTCGCGGAACGCCGAAAAAACGAACCGCAGCTGGACCAAAATCAGGACCATTTGGTGAGGAAAATATTCTCCAAATTCCGAAGGGACAGAAGTCAGAACGCAGCTACCGCGGCAGCGGCATCGGCAACGTCGCAATCCGATATCGAGAAAGGGGAAGACGGCGACAAGATTACCAGGGTGATGTCCACCACGAAACTTTCGTCGGTGGCCGAGAAAGACGACAGTAGCGGAGGTGGAGTCAAGACCAGTGTCGCTCGTCCGTCGTCCGGTAAGTGGTGGGCGAGGGTGGGTGTTCGGTACAAAATAAAATTCCTTTAAAAATTGAAAATTGAAAAATAAAATTTCGTCCAATTGTCATAAAATAATCAAAAATGGTAATGGTATAATAAAACAAATTAGAAGCATCAGCTTTAAGCAAAAAAATATACAGAAGGAAAACCCATTGGATTTTAATTTTAATTAATTTTAAATATAGGATATTTGGCGAAGGATTGATTGTCGAGATAGACCCATTTCGACAATATTTTCTTAATTGATCTGTGTGTATTAAACGTCGCCGATTTTTTATTATTAACGATGTCAGGTCTCAACACATTAATTAGGTGAGACTGTTCCTACTTATAGGGTTTATTATTATTACGGACTAAAGACAAAAAATGAATTCTAGAAACGTCTCAATAAAGTGCAAATATATATTTTTGTAAATTCTTCAAAACATTAGAAAAGCAAATACATCTTTTGCATCTTTTCATTATTAAAGTCACTAAAATAAAATTTTCAGGGTGATTCAACGATTATCTGATTGATTTCAAAAGTTATGAGAAAATGGTCTCAATCCTCATCGTGTTGACTTTCGACGGACCCTCCCCAATAAAACTTTAACGATGTTATTACCTATTGTTATGGGTAAAGTCATTAACAAAAAAGTTGTTCTCACTTGAGGGACAAGGCAGGGGTGGGCCAGGTATATTTCTTTCTTTCTGATATATTTCTTGAGTGTGGACCATTTGTGTCAGTGTTGAATAATCGTTTTTACTGTGCGTTTTGAAAACGTTATTTTATGCTTGATGCAGAACAGATTTTGAAAAATGTGTATGAAACTTTAGTCAGTAGAGGGCTTATTATACAAAAAGCTTTAAAATAAACCTGTCTACTTACAAAAATGCCAATATCGTCGATATGGGATATTATTAAGAGTGGAGAATTCCTTCAAACTCACCGTATATATATATATATATATATATATATATATATATATATATATATATATATATATATATATATATATATATATATATATATATATATATATATATATATATATATATATATATATATATATATATATATATATATATATATATATATATATATATATATATATATATATATATATATATATATATATATATATATATATATATATATATATATATATATATATATATATATATATATATATATATATATATATATATATATATATATATATATATATATATCAAAGCGAAATTGTTCCTACCTTGGATATACCGAAAAAGACGCTAGAAGAAGATGAAACCAATATAACTATAAGCTCTCCATAGAGTTATTTGTAAAATGGGATTTAAGTACCGCAAAATGGACAAAATGCAAGTGGTAATGGAACCACATAGATTACGCACTTGGATATTTAATTACCTTCAAGAAATTAAAAGATTAAAAGATATCAGACAACAGATCCATTAATTACCTCGATACAGAAGACACTGCATCCAAGAAATGAGTTGATTCCACTGAAAACTGTCAGACGAAAGCACCTACAAATAAACGGAAATGCATCACCATAATATACGCTGGCTCAGAAGACGGATTTGTCCCAAACTGTTTGCTGTTGTCCGCAAAGAATATTAAGGATTGTAGCTTGGATTATCATGAGGATAAAGGTGCCGAACTTTTTGAAAATTGGTTTCAAAACGTGGAAAGTGGAACGTGGAAAGATAACGCAAACTACCACAGCCATCTGCTACACAAAGCACCAGTCTCATCAAGTTCAAAAACTGAAATTATTTCTCTAAAATAATTTTGGATTTCACACTTGCAAGAAAATTACGATAGCGCCATTATTTTTAAAGGTAGATCGCCAATATTTGATTCGAAGATGACGTAAAGGATTAACACATCGCAATTTGAATTAGATGCTACAGGGTGTTTAAAATATACGAGTATATTAGGATCGTTTCAAATTGAAATATCTTGATTTTCTGAAATGCACACCGTATACATACATTTTTTTCTGAAAGATCTTACATATACCTATTTTTAATACTATACGATTTATTCAAACTTTTACAATATTTACCCTTCTTTGTGGCTAAGACCATTACTATAATGTTAGTTGGTCGAATTTTCAACTTAAAATGATCCAAATATATTCGTTTTCTTCTACGTCATCTTCCAATAACGCTGATATGAGTTAATTGACCTCTAAAACTAATGGTACTAGCGTATTATTTTGCAAGTGTGAAAACTAGTATTTTTTTAGAAAAATTAAAATATGGAGTATAAGTATGTATTATTATTAATAAAAAAGAACTTCAAAATGAGGGGGAGGAGATGACTTCAAAAGTATTATTGAATGTTTGTTGTCTCGTCTATCACTGAACATTAAATGTTCGGTAGATTGATATATCTAGGCACAAGGGGTTGCAGGATGACACAGCTTTAATATCAAAAGTCAAGTGTACAAAAATATTATTGATATTTGGATATTCAAATTTATCCCGTGTTCTTTGTCCGACTGAAGCAATAATTAGAAATTATGTACTCTTATAGTTCTATCCAAATCGGCAAAATCGTTTAGGTTGATTGTGATACATTTATCATCTGTGAGGCAGATTACCTGGGTACAAAAAAGACATGTGTTTTCTTGTAAGTTTTTTACAGCAATAATTTAGTGCGGTAATTCCCTTTTCTGTACAGAACGATTAACAGAGTGAAATTTACTTTTATTTAGTAAGGGGCAGCAAATGGGGTAGACTACTAGGATCAGCAAGTCTGGACTCGGGTTCGGAAACCTCAAACCAAACGGCCGTGGCGTTTCAGCGAAGTCTCAGCGCCAAAGATCCCAAAGATCGTCCCAGTTCGTCTTCGTCAGGCAGCTCGGGAAGCCAACCAACCGCCGGATCTGGCAACAAAATCTTTCCCAAATTGCAGAAAGTATCGGCAACGTCTAGCCCAGGTAATTCTACAAGCTGGCATTAAAAGTGTAGAATAATATAGAACGGAAAAATGGGTCGAATTCCCTTCAATTTCGTTCGTTCAATAAACAGGCTTTGTTGTCATTTTTTACCACTTACTTGTTTGCAGCTCCATTATTCCTTTATGAAAGGGAAATGAATGACACTATATTGAGAGTGGGGCCTTTACAAGTATATTTATTTAATTTAACTAATCAATATTTGATTGATGTTAAGCCGTAGTGTTCACATATATAAGATAAGTTTGGTTAGTTAGTTTTGGTTAGTGCAAACCGAAGAGACGTTCTAATAATCCTTCACTACCAGTGATTAGAGAAGCCAATATTAGAAAAATACGCGATTGCATAAAGCACAATTCTCCCAAAATAAAAAACTGTAGATCGATGTTTCCGAAAGACTAGACAGGAAAGTGAAAAAATTCAGGCAGATCAGGAAAACTTGTCTATGAAGACACTAAAAGCGTAATTCGAAGAAAAATACCTTATGAATGACAAAATATATTCCATCTGATTCAATTAGAAGATAACTTGATAAAAAATGAACTATTACATATAGAAATTTAGACAAACATGGTTTTGTGAAATGCGACAAAAAACCTAGTGTGCATGGGCGAAAGTTAAAGAATGTTTTAGTCTTGTAGACCTCTGTCTGATAAAGTTATTAAGAAAGAGGAGGTGACAGTTCCTCATATGACGAAGAATATCGTGATATTTTATAATTTAATTTAATTTTGTGTATAGTGTGTCTTTTGCAGAATGTTTAATACAAATAGGAGTACTCTCACATTATTCTTTACTCACAGTTTAGGAAAGCGGCTTAGTATTTCTTCTTCAGGTGCCTATTTCGAAAATTGGCTATAACAATTTGGTTCACGGCTGCTCTAAATAATTGGTTATTGGTTCTCTTTTACAATAGACTTTCCCTTAGAGAACAGATTTTAAATGGCCATATTTACTTTCGGTCCTCATTATATGTCCAAGGTAATCCAGTTTTCTTCTTTTGTATATTTAGTATTTCTTTTGCATTCGTTGCAGTGCTTTTTTGTTGATCACTTTGTCCATCCATGAAATCCTTAACTTTCTTCTGTAAAGCCACATTTTGAAGGCCTCCAGTCTTTATTCAGTTGCATCGGTTAATGTCCATGACTCCATTCCATGGAAAAGTAGGGAGAAAATATAGCATCTAAGGAGTCTGGATTTTGATGTCTATGTTGAGGCTGTAACTTTTCAACAATTTAGCCATTTGAATGAATGCGGCCCTTGCTGTCTCTATTCTAATTTCCTGTGCGTGATTCCAATACTCATTAATTATGGTTCCCAAGTAGTTGAACTGTGAAACCTTTTCTAAATTTCTTTACTAATTACCACGAATTTGGTTTTACTAACGTAATTTCTAAACCATATTGACGTCTTAGTATTCTAAAAACGTATTTTAACATACGAATTGTGTTCCAAATGTATGGTGACTCTTAAGTTTTTTTAAAAAGTTTTTATTTTTCAAAGTAATTCCTCCCCCCCCCATTTCCGCCAACGTTTCTTCCTGGAAGCACTTCTGGTAAGCACTTCTTGGTATAGCCTTGAGTTCTTCTAGCGATTTTTTTCTTAACTCCTCAATCGTTTCAAACCTCCTTTCTTTCATGGGTTTTTTGAGTTGTAGGAATAGGAAAAAGTCGCAGGGGCCCATATCCGGTGAATATGGTGGCTAGGGCATGATTCTGGTTTTGTTTTTGGCCAAAAAGTTAGACACAAGCAACGATGAGTAAACAGGTGCATTATCGTGATGCAAAATCCATTAATTGAATTCAGGACGTTTTCTTCGTAATGCTTCTCGCAAACGACGGATAAATTCAAAGTAATACTCTTTATTAACTGTACGACCTTGTGGTAAGAACTCTTGATGTACTACGCCACACTAATCAAACAGTAAGCAAAACATTGACATTTAATCGAACATGACGTGCTTTTTTCGGTCTTGGCGATTCTGGGTACTTCCACTGGGACCACTGAGCTTTAGTTTCGACGTCATTACCAGTTATGACCTTTTTGAGCAAAATTAGATGACACGAGTCAACACCATTTGTTTTACTTCTTCAACGCTTTCACCAGTTATGTGCTGGGACGTCTAGAGCGAGGTTCATCATCGGCGTATTTTCGGCCATCTTGGAACAGCTTGTACCACTTATAAACTTTTTTTTGCACAAAGTAGATTCGTTATATGCCTTTGTCAACATTTTAAGTGTTTTGCAGCACTATATTCCATTTTTTACACAATTTTTTTTAATTCTTTGTTCCATGTTTTTGACAGCAGAAAATCGCCGAGCACACAAAACAAGTCTAACGCTTCCGTCTCACAAAAAAAGTAAACGTGCACACTGGCTGAAACTGTGAACATATATTAGGGACATGGGTACCAACATAACAAAAAAAAATTCGCAGATCAAATGAATGTAAATGGCCCGCCCAAATACAAAAGTCACCTTACTTTTTGAACACACCTCGTACAAGATAAGTGCATATTTACAAAATGCATACTAATAATATTATTTAGGTTTATTTTTATGTTAGTTCATCTACAAACACTCCATGCATCTTTAAATTTGCAATAAAATACACATTACTTTGTAAAAATACAAAATACAATTCAAACCGTTTTAATTCATTAACATTCAATAAGTGAAGGGATATTCGAATATAATTCAACTTGCCACGGTGTGTTCAGAACGCTATAGCAAAAGGATAAGTTCAAAGTTGTTATAAATTGCTTTTGCTGTTGCTGATATATGCAAAAAACGCATGGTAGAACACCAAAGGTATTCTACAACTGCTTATGCTGTACTCCTCCAATTTTTGAAAATATACATATAAATGATTACATTATTATAAAACTATGTTTATACTTCATAATTAAGTATCGAATGTAATTTTGCCCTCCAAGAGGTCAATTTACATTTTTACATTTGAATTTAAAAAAGTGCAGATTAATGAGGGAAATGTAGAGATATGCACAAAAAAATCATTTTCTGCGAAAATATCAGAGACGCATCAATTTTTACTGTACTATTCTATATATACTATAAATGTGAAAATATATACTGTATTTAGAATATCAGGCAACATGTAATTTTGTGTGCCATATAGCTAACCAATGATCAAATGTGTAATTTTACAATTTTTTGTATCATTGGAACCATAAAAGAATTTGCAAAGAAATCAATGCCCAGCAACGAAATTAGTAGTCGCTTTGGGTACCTATTGACGATTAGTGCGCACCTTTCTGAAATATATTACAGATCATTTGTGTGTTTATGCAGCAATAACTAGGCAAGACACGATCGACGAGATGGTTGAGGTGGAACCTCCGAGGAACTTGTCGTTGAGGAAGATGCAGAGTTACGATTGCGGTTTGAGGGATCCCTCGACCGCGTCCATGTATCAGACAGCCGTCCCAGAACCCATCGCTCCAATAGAATATAAAGAGTTAATAACTAATCTTATGGATTTTAAGGTAACGGTCGGGTAAAATCGAATCGTCCGCGGAGATTGGTTTATATTATACCCAGGTAGATGTAAAGCTCGAAATTCAAAAGTTGAACCAAAAGATGAACCGTATGGAGGAAATGATGTCGGAAATACTGAAACGCCTCGGACCTGACAGCGGGTCCAGTTCGCACTCGCCAAACGATTCGAGCGAAACGGTGACCAAGAAGTCTTCCAGCGTGTCCTTGGAGAGGCCTACCGATTTGTTGACGAAATCGTCCATGTCCTCCGAAGCCACGGGTATAGGACCAATTATTCTGAAAAAACGAAGGTCGAAAACCAGGATGAAAGGATCCGCTCCCCAGGTAAATTATACGTCGAGTAAGTAGGGTAGGGAACTTTGAATTAATCGATATAAGCAAAGAACACGTGTGAAAGGAATTAATAATGCTCACCCACACTTTTCTGCATAAACTCTAGCTATGTTGGGTTAACGTTTTCTTCACATTTTCGTTGTTTTTTTTTTTCAAAATATTTATTCATTTTTCATTCATTCATTATTTATTTTTAAACGATTAGCATTTAGTCAAAATCTAACCTAGTTTTAATTTAGCAATTCAATTGTTTTATAACTCAATTATAAAAAAGTCATTTTATATAGAGCGTTCAAAAATGTACTCTATTTCAACAAGAACTAATAAATACAATGCTTGTTAACTTGTCAGAGAATGTGCTTTTTAACTTTCCATGAAACAATATTCGAATGTTCTATAACCCTCAATCTAGTTGTAATTTAGTAATGACAGATAATTGAGAGATGTCAATTTGGTCTGGGTTTGGTTTAAAGTCGGTTTATTAAGTGGTCTGTGAATTTAGATATTTTATAGCTGCATTGATCACTTTTTTGATACTTTTTAGCCATGGTTCAAATTCTTTTATAATTTATAAAAAAACAACCTTCTGCAACAATTAGATTTTCTAAAATAACAAGACAATTACATTATATGTATTTTATATATATTATAACGACAACTAACTAAACAAAACTAAACAAAAAATATAAAACTATAGAAAAATACAAATTATTAAACTAGACTAGATGCAACAAAAGTTTTGTGAAGAAAGCATCAAATGGGGCCAAAATTACAAAGTGCATTCTTTGGTAAATTAACAAATACAGTTTACTCTCGGTAATCCGGCCTCTGTCTAATACGGTACCCCCTATAATCCGACATCGTATTGTTTTGATTCTGATTGCTTAGTTTGATTTTTACTACATGCGAGAGGATAGCGGTGCGGCCTAGCGTGTGTTCATTGTTTACTATTTATTCATTGTGTATTACGTATACGCAACTAGTAATGTTGTCACAAGCTCAGAAGTGAAAGCACAATTAAAGGAAAATGTTATATTTTAGACCTCCTAAATCGTAATGAATCTTTCAGTAGTTTAGCAAGTGACTACGGCGTAGGCCCATCTACAATTTGTAACATTAAAAAAAAAACACGAAAATATTAAATAGTTCGTGGGGCAGGCAAGAACAAAGCTGAACATCCAGAAGTGGAAAAAGCTTTATACATGTGGTTTCGTCGGGAAAGAAATAGGCATGCGCCTATTTGGGGGCTCATGTTGACCATGAAAGCTAAATATTTTTACAAGGAAATAATAAAAAAAGGATGATTTTGTGGCTAACAAGGGATGACTAGAATGTTCCACAAGCCGTCACGGCATATGTTTAATGACTTATACTGGAGAGAAACTTTCTAATGATGCCACCTGCATAGATCAATCTAAAATGGAGATTTTTGCAAAAGGTGAAAGATTTAAATCTTATCCCGTGACAGGTGTGCAATGCAGACGAATCGAGGCTTTTTTGGCGTGTGATACCTAACAAAATTTTTGTTTCCTGTAACGAAAAATCCGTACCTGGATGAAAAGTTAGTAAAGAATGTCTAACCGTACTACCTTGTACTAACGCTGCGGGTACACAGACGCTAAAGATGGTGGTCGTTCTAAAATCTAATATACCACATCCATTCAAAAACATTAATTTACCTGTACACTATTATGGACAAAAAAGTGCGTGGATAACGAAAGATACTTTCAAAAAGTAGTTTGATGAATGCTTCGTACCAGAAGTTAGAAAATGGTTGAAAGATTATAATTTATCTCAAAAAGCGTTATTGCTTATTGATAACGCTCCCGGTTATCCGTCTGAATAAGAACTGACATCACTGCGATGTTTCTTCCGCTAAACTGCACTGCACTGAAAACCGTATCAAAAGACCAGGCAATAGAAAAAACGTTAAAAGAATTTAATAGGAAAGCTATTATCTTGATTCGGGTTTAAAGGCCGTCGTCGATTGGAATTACTTCCTAACGTTTCGCTAGCACGAGTGGCGAGCTTCTTCAGAGGTCCTTCCATCTCCGATGTTGGACGTAGACTGGTCTACGAAACGTTAGGAAGTAATTCCAATCGACGACGGCCTTTAAACCCGAATCAAGATAATAGCTTATCAACGGGCCGCGAAAGCCTTAACCAATTTAATAGGAAAGTCTTGGTTTTTACTCTTCGTCACCAACTATTACCTTCGGAAGTAATAGAGCAAATTGCTGCTGAAAATATAGGGTGTTCCATTTCAAAATCTTGAGATGTTGTTAATTGAATTCACCAAAACGGCACCACCCATTCGGGCCACCCTGTATAAACTGATTGAGTAGTGTGGTTAAATTTTCGTTGCAATACCTGTCTCGGTATTTATATGGGGCAATCAAAATATGAAAAAAAAAACACATAACGTCTGCCTAAACTAAGCAAAATAGGAATTTCTTAAGACTTTTTTTCGTATCTCTCATGGGTTTCTAGATCGTATAGTGGATCGTTTTATTTAGCACACGGTGTACATTAGTTTGTACACAATTATTTGCTAATGTAACGTTATTGCAATTTTTGTTGTAAATTCTGTAGAATTAATAACATTAATTTTATAAATAAAACGTAATCTTTCTATTGTGTTGTTTAATTTACTAAATTTGATGATTTGTACTTCATAGTACATATATATAATACATATAAAGAATCTTATCATTGGACCTGTAATTGGTCGGATTACGAGGTATTCTTTTGCAACAAAATTCGGACTATAGGGGGTCTTAGGCAGTACTCTATAATCCGACAAATTCGATAGTTCGACACTGCCCTGCCGGACTACCGGGGGTCTACATTCCTTATTATGCAGGATGTTCCAGGGCTAAAACGTCAAACGTCTAAGATTGTTTTTTCAGGTGTAAATAAGCCTTTTTTCCATATACGTATCATCTAACTGGATTTACTTTCGACATACGGGGTGTCAAAGTTTTAATTTTTTTAAATCGGTTTTTAATAAGTATTCAAAAACTTATTTTAACGCAATTAGAATAAAAGTGTTAATCCGAGTGGCGACACTGAAGGTAATTTAATTGATATTTATAGCAAAATGCTACTGTTTCAATTTCAAGTTAGGACATATGTTTATGGACAAAAAGTCTTATTTTTACCTGGAAAACCGACCTTAGACGTTTAACAGTTTAACCATGAGCAACACTGTATATCATATTATTTTACAATACCCTCTGTATGTATGGTATGTAAGATATAATGCATCTACATCTGTTTTCACATTTCAAGTTTCAGGAGGCTCTATGACTGATCACTTAGATCGCCTGATTTTTGTATAATGTAACATTATTTTCACACAGCACCATGTTACCATTTTTAACTGTTGATACACTGTTAAGCCATACACGGAAGCCCAAGGATGACAGTTAACAATTTTGTAATTGATTTATCTCACATAAAATGTTCAAAATTTAACGACCGATTACATTTTTTTTTAAGTTTTTTGTTAATCTATGTTTTCCTTTTTAATCTGACACTGAAAAAAAAAGAGAAATCAAAATAGAAAAATGGAATTTAGAACGTAACAATCAATGAAAAACATAAAAAATTTCTAACGTAAGGAAGAAGAAATACAGAACGTATTAGTTAAAAGAAGTCATTACAATCATTGCTTCTATATGATAACATTTTTGTTCAAACCAATAAACTCTAGTGTTATTCTCCTAATGAATCTCCGTTGTGCGGGTTCAAATACGTTAGGGCATCGTCGACACAATTCAATAACTCTTTTCAATTTTGTACAGGCCTAGAAAGGTTCCATTAGATCTTTTATACAAATTGGATGATCTAGATAACCAGTTCCAAAATTTCAAAAGTTTTGAAGTAAATAAAACGGAACAGAAAATGTCAAATTTGGCTAAAATGAATGCTAACTAGAAAGAAATTTGGGATTTGTTAACCTTTGATAGAAAATACCGAATAGCAAGAAAACCGTTTGGAAATAAGTAGAATGAAATGCATAGTCAAACGATGTAAAATTGGATTGGGCATCACACTATACAATAATACAACAAGTTTTGCATCTTTCAAAATGATGTAACTGGTTGGTAAATGTTGGACACTCTGCAAACGATAAATCAATTTTCAATATCAACATGAAAGGACGATTCCTGTACTGTAGAGCTTTAAGTAGCAACTTTTCGCAGGTACCTACTCCGTCTAGTGCAAGGGTCACTTCTCCGGGAAGTTCAACGGCGAGCCCGACGGAAGCGACGAAGATGCTGGGGGAATCCCTACATACGCCGTCCTCAAAAATGCCCAAAGAGTATCTATAGCCGTATTTATATCGTAGCGTAACTGATAAGCTTTAAATGAATAACATTAGATTATTTATGTTTGATTTCAAATGCAGGACAGATTGTTCTGCGCAAAACGTTAGAATCTGAAGGAATTCTTTATCAGATACGCACCGCATTGCTTAACATGCGTTAATATGGCCTGTTTCAGAAATGTTCGTTGATCTGTGCAATACGTTACACCCTTAGCCTTAAATAATAGACACGGGATAATTTAGTTAATCCTTCCATAGAGAGATACAGATAGGTACAGATTTTGGATGTTTGGATTTAGGCGATACTTGCAAAAAAATAAAAAGCTTGTATCACAAAGTAGCAACAATCTTGACTTATGAAATGAGACGTCCTATATATTGATCCGTTATCAATTCTTTTACACTGTTCTCTACTGGCTTTCGAAATATTAATCAATTTCCATTTGCGGTTCAGCATACTTGGAATTTGTGTTAAATTTTTTTATTCTCATTGGTGCTAAAATGTGGAACTTTTGCTGGTTGTAGCTAGTCCATACTCGCTATAAACAATTAGCAAAACTATTTTTAACCATTGTTCACATTTTAAATTATTTCTATTCATTTAAATCAGATTTGAAAATAAGCCAATTTCTATAGAAAATTGCTTTTTTTTTGGAAAACTTTAACCAATTTGATATTATTGGAATATGATATATATCTTGTGAAAGGGAATTTAATTAATTATTATTATTATTATTATTATTATTATTATTATTATGGTCCATTTAAAAAATGCACTTTTATTGCTAGGTTTCAATTTAAATGTTATCTCTATACGTACCAATCAGTCCAGTGTACAAGAACTCTTTTTAGTAATGAAGTAAAATATTGTAAGCACATAATATGTATTTTGAAAGGTTATTTCAAAAATAAACTTCACTTTTTCTACATAATCAATATGTTGCTTACGGAGATAATTACCATTTTATATCAAATAAATTATTTTGAAAATATTGCAGTTTTAGCTATTTTATGTTAAAAGTAATTTTATAGAGTGTAAGTCGTTCCGAACCTAACAAAAACTTAAGAAAATTAATCAGAACGATCATTTCAAAATTTTAGGTTAAATTAATTGAGTTTCCATACAAATTGGTATCAGTGTTTTGCTATCTTTTTTTTTCATACAACAATATAAAAAAATGAAAATATTGGGAGCACGTGGAGGATCATACAAATTCTCCAACTAGCTATAAAATGTGATTTGCTTGACTGTTCTCAAAAAAATTATAAAAGTTCCAATAACTTTTTGGATTGATTTCTTGTACTAATTCTGAGAGAACAGCTCTAAATTCTACATAAAAAGTTATTTGCTGTTCACTAAAATATCAAATACTTGGAGTACCTTAAACAGACATGTTAACAATCTCAAAAACCAAAAAAGCCATCCAAATTCCATTTTCACCATTGTTTATTTGACAAAAAAGTAGCACGACACCTACTGCGCATCTTCTTACATTTAAAGATAAGTGAGATAATAACAAATGCGATGCACGCTGATGTTAGGGTGAATTATTGAATTGCACAATCGGCGCATAATGCTGAAACGGATAGTACAAGGATTTTGTAAAGACATGTATTTTGACTATGCTGTCCTATGTATAAGTCGAAAGGCTAATGCGCAACTCATACACTGTTCACAACAATTTACACAAACTATTTATATGACTGATTGCAACAAAACTTTCTTTCGGCTGCCAGGACCGCTGCAGGTGATTTTGGAGTTTTATTTTAATCTAATTGTTTCCATAATATGAAAATTGGCGATTTAATATTATGTTAGAAAGACACAAAAAATTATACATTTTTCAAAAAACTTCCGCAGGCTACTGTAGTACTATTTACAAATTTTCCAGATTTCTCCTGCATTCGTTGTATATAAATGATGCTGATGTTTTGCCAATCATCCTGTGGCTTCTTCAGAGTTTGTTCTGTGTTTTTAAGTTGTTGTTGTTGTCTTGCGGACATTTGCAAAACACTGTATAATATAACGCCGATTTCTAATTAAACAAAACGAATTTAAGTTTTTAATTAATTTTATAGAAAAATGAAAGATGGATTAAATTAACCAAATAAAAAATATAGCAACTATAGGGCGTTAACTGTGTAGTTGTGTAGAGTTGAATAGTGTATCGGTTGTGGTTCAAGCTTGGGTTATAGAATACTCCGGTTGAAGATTCATGTGGCGGTTAATGTTTCTTGTTTAATATAAGTAATACAATACAAATATTGCAAGGCATTGTAATTTGACGAGAGCTTTGAAAGATTGTCTAGTGTTAGTCTGTTCGAGGCCGACTTCTATGTGGCACATTGCAGATTTTAATTTTTGCCATCTTCATGATTATGAAATTAAATATTTTATATTTTTAATTTATATCGACATCTCATAGGCCAGATGATGGCACAGAAGGTCATTTTTTCAGGAGGGCAAAAAATCCTAGTAACATTTTAATTACAGCACTCTTATGTAATGTGTTTTCATTATAGGATTATTTATTTTATTTTATTATTTTAATTCAATTTTAAACATCACGTGGGCTTAGATTTTTCTTATTAGATTGTTGTTATTTCTGATGGTACATTTATTTTAACAAGATTTTCTAACTCAAAGCTGAGTTTGATATAACTGAGACTTTTTTGGCAACGTTAACAGTTCATATTAGTCGTGGTCCCAAAATGTGTAGTAGTTTTAAACCATCACTGTTCTTGGAAAATAATGTTGAATGTTTTTAAAGTTAACTGGTTTGGAAAGTCAATTTCTTTGTTTTTATGTAGCGCCTCTCTTGTTGTTGTTGGTATTGTGTGTTATTTCATTTGGCCTGTGACGGTATGACATTATTTATGAAATCAGTAAAGTATTCCATATAACCCATGCTTTAATGTTGTTTAGCTGCAGATTGAAAATTATACAGGGTGTGGATAGAAGAATATTACATGAGAAAGATGTTCGAAAAATTGAGTAGATATTCAAATTAGAACCTTTCTTGAGATTTCGAAATTTAAAACAAAATAAAAGAAATTAATCTGCCGTGGCTCAAATTAGACAAGCGATGCTGAATTTAGTGAAACTTTCGTTAATGTTAAATTTATATTATAAAGCGTGCTATTTGAACTTGAAGCACCCAGTATAAAGGAACTGACACTGTGATTAAATAGTCAACTCCACAAGTACTCGAACATAAAAGCACAGGTTGATTCGATCCAAACTTTAAAAGGAATATTACGATTAGGTCTATTGAATTAGAGCTATACTATAACTAATATAAAAATATGCAAATATGGTTAAAAATAGAATAAAAACTTTTCTATCCTAATTCGAGATCATAGCAGATTTTATAATTTTGTTCGTCTATCACAAAAGCACTTTTCCGATGAAGTGACACCGAGTTATAAAATACTTTATTCTAGATACCGGATACGATAACGATTATTTTAACGAAATGTTTAAAAATAAGATTGTAATAAGCGCTTTATAAACGTCACGAGAAATCCAAAGATTTTAACCCGTAGCAACACTAGACATCCACGTAGGCCGCGTACTATTTTTATAATCGGCAGATCAAAAAGATAGGTCCTCCATTCGTTATTGTAACTTCCAACTGATTTTGTAGAAAATTCATACAAAAAGGACACAAAAAAGAATGCAAAAAATGTACTTAAAAGCACATGTCACAAAAGTGTTATCTTTCTCATCAGACCAGACCAGTATGCTCAGTTAGGTGTGAAGTCATCCATTTGGTTGCGCGTTTAGGTTCCAATCTAAGTAGTCCCTAGGTTTCCTCTTCTGACATCTTGATTTGTGCCTGTGGCTACATAGCATGCACTGGAAAGGTAATTTTGAATGATACAGCTCTGAATGTTTTTCTTTAAAGCGAACTCGTTATAATCAGGAGCTAATGTTTTCCGCATATTGATACAAGTTTAATCTAAGGGCAAACCAAAGAGTTCAGTTTCACCTCACATTCACACTTGTTATCATTAATATCATTATCACACTCAGTAATGTTGATTCCTATGCAGCAATGAATGCTGCGACTCAAAACGGGGTATCTTTATTTTCCTGTGAAAGTTAGTCTAGGCTCAATTTCAATCAAAATACATTAGTTTGGCCCAAGAGCGATACAACTGCCTTTTTTGCGACTCGCCTATAGTATTCCAAAATTCCTTTTAGTCTCCCAAATACCAATACTATGTGGAAGACACAAAAATTATAAAACTTTTCAATTTAAATTGTCTGTAATAATCAGTGGGTTTGAGGCTACAAAAAAAAGCTTTCAATACTCACAAAACTATCAGGAGCTTATTTAAACAAAACAGCAATTTGTTAATCTTGTGGATTGTTAATATTGCGATTAAAGAATACAGATGTCGAAATCATACGCACTAATAGGTTTTAAAAAAAAGATTAGCACATTAATGAAAACAAATTTTAAAAACTACTTTAAGAAATGTTTTTACGATGCAGCTACTTCTTAGGTGCAATATCGAGTAAATAATCTCAATTCCAAGGAATCATAAATATAAAAGGAATTACTGGTACAAATTATTGCTTTTGAGATCCACCCTTCGTACAGAATTCAAACTTGATATGCCGATAATAAAAAACAACTTTCGCTTCATGAAAGGACCACCACCATTTCTAAATCTAAACGTGAATGTTGAGTGAGAACATTCCTCAAACACTACTACTTGTCAATTTAAAGTGAGTAATCATCTAGACGTCTAACTCATGTTTTAAAATTAAAAACACTGCAGTGTTTCGGTATTTTTGTATATTCAACTCGAGATTAAGCAATGTCTAGTTCAACCGCGTGCAATATAAAGCTCGTCGCTACATCGAAATTTTGATAATAACTCTCGATTTAGTTTTTTTTTCTTATCAATATAATATTCAGTAAGTTTCAGGCGTGGTCCTGATTAGTAAAAAGCATTACATTGTAAATATGTAAAATTTTATTGCTAACACCTAGCTGACAGATTTCTATGAACATTATAGGGTTGTATTAAGATGCACCACTTATTCTAAATTTAAATTTGGTTCCTAATCGTTTTCAAACAAAAACTAACTTCATTCCATTCTTTTGAATTTATTTTTTTACAGCAATGCCACTTTTAAATTTACAGCAATAATAGGGTATACTTTTGGTGTGTGTATATAATTTTTATATTTTGAGTTGTATATTTTTTTCTTGTGATATGAACTTTACAGAATCAAACCGCAGGGTCGGTTAGCGTACTAACCGCGAAATATTGGCTTTCTTGTTAACTAAAACTAATAATTTTTATGAAACTTGAAAAGTTAAATAAAGCTTATAAGATTTTAGTTTCTCTTTCACTTAATACATATATATCCTATCCCTAGTTCATTAAAAACTAGTGACTAAAGTGGCGTTTATCAAAGTTATTTATATTGACTTTTAAAAACGTCTTTAATTTCGGTTTAAATAAACGGATTTTTGCAAACTAGGGCTCGTTTAGAAGAGTTGGCTGATGACTAACAAATAAAAAAATTTCAGTCAAATCAAAAAAAAATTAATTGAAATATTAAAATTAACAAACTTTGCGTTCCTCAACGATACCTAGTTCGGCAAATTCTGTCAATTTAAACTGAAGTAATAGAAGGCTCTCATAATAGACCTTAATTATGCACCCTTCTATAAAAAAAATTAAACTACTTTTTTAGGATCATAAAAATTGCACCTTCTGGCGGCCAAACTAGAAACCTCAATGGAATTTTTGGTGGAAAATACTTATTTAAGCAAATACCGATTAATACAACTTTCGTATTTTATATGGCAATCGTAAAATCATGTATGATACATAATTCAAAAAAAAATTCAATGTCATAGAAGTGCAAAGAATGGGTCAATAAAGGTGTCGGAAGAGACTAACTAAAATTAACCGTAGCAAAACGGTTCGAGAAGGTGCTGATGTTTTAAAGACATCCCGTAAACAGTAAAACATACAGGTATTGTCGATGAGCGCCATCTTTGTCAGAGAGCACGCGACTTGATGGCACTGAGAAAACACGGGCTCACTGCTCGCGAAACATTGATAGGTTGGCCTATTATCCGCTAGAGACCACCACCGCATTAATCCGTAAAATCCAGACTGCTTAAGACCTCCACAGACGAACGAACGTTTATATCCGGAGTGATGTATAAGCATATACGTACTAAGTCTGCGTGCAGACGTACGTATAAAATCCGCAATTTTGCGTATTTTTTGAACGATGTCTAAAGAAGAGGATGACGTAGCGTTGGAACCAGTGGCGCGGACTAATGTGCTCAAAATGAAGAATAAAAAATAAAACCTGTCGCGTGTTTTTCATATGAACCTATTGACAGAACTGAGAATAGTTAAAGATGGTAACTCCATTGATGCAATATCAGAATAATAGATTTATTGAATTTACTACTGCAATATCTACATGGGAAGCTATATATGGAGAACACATGAATGTCAGAAATACGTTTCCTTTAGAAAGTAACAGATGATTGGGTATTACATATTGTTCATACAAATCATGCGGGATTATAACTGGAAAGATAGGGTTTAAGATATTTTCCCCTCTTTATTGGGCATTTATTTTCTTTTATTATAGGTCGTTTTAACCCCATGTGGTTAGGTCACAGAAATTGCACATGCGTAAAACCAAGAGATACGTTAAGGTCGTATTGTGCTAAACCCTGTACATTTCGAGGAATAAACGCAGGACGAGACAGTGTTTTGCAATCAGACATTATAGAAAACAGGAAATTAGCGAATCAAATTTAACGCAAACATGAAACTTGGCGGAATGCTAAACGCTACTGACGATATCACAATTTACAACCACACATTGAAACTTGAGAGCCAATCGCGTACAAAATTTTGTGCGTTATTTTTTTTTGAGTGTTCAAATGTGTGACGATCTTCTGCATACGCACTAACGTTTTTGTATGTACTTTTTCGAATGCGCACACATGAACGCGGACAAAAACGTTCGACTGTAGAGGGCTTGTTGTAGAGACCTTGTACATTGTAATTTAAAGGTACAAAATATATATTTTTCAATTTTAATTAGAATTTAAAAGCCTTTAATATTATTTCTGGAAATCTTAAATTAGAAAAATAATGTATAAATATATTTTAAATAATATACCCAGTGACCCAGTAAGGACAACGTGGTAAGTTATTTGGGAAACGCATGTTTAAAAATAAAACTTTTTTTGAGGTTCTGGCCACAAGGCCACCTTGGATTTCAAAATCCGTTTTCTGCAAAAAAATTTAAATTAATGACAGTGAAGCTGAGACAAATTCAAGCCTTTTTTATTAGACAGTTTTTACTCTATCTTTAAAAGAAAAGGGGGATGGGAGGGGCCCTCCAACATTTTGATTTGAATAAACTTGAAATCTATAAAAAGGGCCTTTCCTAGGCAATCAAAAGTGCTGTGAGTGGGATGATTATGATATACGATACGACGATCATCATCAAACAAGAGCTAACAACTCAGTGAAATCCGCATCTCGATATCTTTACCTTTAATAACTCTGTCCGAACATCATGGGAACTAAACATTGATGACGATAAAACACAAGAATGGATAGGATCATCCATATTTTTAGGGATAGTAGCGCGAGTTTGATAAACAATATCTTTTATTCTACCTTAAAACGAAAAAGTACAGGACAGTAAGATCTGGAGATCAGGCAGGCCACGAAAAGAAATTGCCCCTGCTTATCCGGTTTGGATAAATCAAAAAGTATGCTGGACATCTATCGTATTGCAGCTCTCCCGTTTACAAAACGTTTTCTTATAAAATCGGCAAGTGGTTTCTTAAAAACAAAATTAAGTAAATTTGATGACATATAAATGGTTCTATAATTAGATCACCCAAAATACTACAACAGACGTTCACACTCCACTGATTTTGATAATCCACTTCACGCATCCAGTGACGCTTCACTGGCGACCAATAATAAATATTATACAAATTGACTTCTCAAATACTCGAAAAACTACCTTCATCTGTCCAATTGAGATCCTCGTCTACCATAGAATTTAGCCCATTACAGTAGTCTCCTATCATAATCAGTTCCTAAAAGGGTCTGGTCAAATTCGATATGATAAGAGTGTAGATAATGGTCTTTTCGGATTTGGTGTAAGGATGTTTTACTAATGTTCAAGTCGAAACTTATTCTCCTTAAGCTTAAATAAGACATTGTTAATGCAGTAAACGCAATCACGGTACAATAAATCTAATTTCTGACTATTTAAAACGGTAGATAATTTGGAGATTTCTTTTATGGTTTTCTAATTAGTCTTTAACAATATTGATGAGTGACTAAAGCTAATTTGTAATATCAAAAAGGGATAATAGCCAATATTTGAAAACTCTAATAGTAGTAATAATGTTTATAACAACCCGTAGAGTGGAGATGCTTAACCAAATTCAACTTCTTCAAGTTTCAAATTCTTTTATTCATATTTTAGGTTAGGATAAAGATATTGAGTTGCGATTGTTAAGGTCTTGTTTGAATGGCGAAAAAAAAATCATATCGTTGCATTTAATTAATAAGTTATGTTTAAGAAAATGTAAAATTAATCAGCAGTAAGCCTCATAAATCCAAGAAACTGGAAACTCCCTCTAGTGTCTTCCAAGAGAACCTTATAGATGGCGCGAAGTCCAAATATTCGCTCAATGGAATCAATCAACAATCCACACCAGACCTTGGAGGTTAGACATATAAACTTGGGAGATTTCAATGCTCGTATGGTTTGGTCCTCGTTTTGGTCCAAACTTTGATATACATTTTAAAAAAATCTTTGAGTTTCGACTTTATCGACTATTGTTTATAATAACCTAATACCCGCAAAATACTTTCGAAAGTGCCATAAATAAAAATGGGAGAGGTTTTATTAAAGGAAATATAAAAATGATACAAAATATCCGAATCTCCATCAGCAAAGATTTCTATCCGTATATTTCAAATAATTTAACGAGGTAATATAATATTAATTACATCTCAGCGATGACAAATATATTGAAAATGACCTAGTTTTGGACGTTTGGTAAAGCTCGTCACGTGCATATTTCATCCATTTTCACAAGCTAGCACATTTGTTTAGTGATAATTACTCGGCAGACCTGCGCTTAATTTTATGACGATTTTTTTAACCTGGCCGTATAACAATAAAAACAGAATGATTGCTAAGCAATGGGACTTATGAATGCAAATGTTGCAATTACCAAGAACACTGTTAATCAAATAAATTCAAACTTCAAAAAAATAATTTCTTTCTTGGTTTAGTATTGACTAACCAAAACTTATGCGAACAGTGCATGTCAAAGATATGTATATATTTAATTAGATGTTGAAAATGTTCAGCATTCACTTTTTAATAATATGCTAATCCCGATCCCAAAAAATTACTAGGGATATTTTCCTTAATTTACCTCATTTCATATCTAATTCTAAATTTTAAATCATATAAATTTTGTGGTTATTTTCTTATACAGTTTTGATTTTATATATCCTCAGAGGAAAAAATCCAATGGAGTAATATCCGAAGATCTTGCAGGCCATTCTATTGATCTCCTTTCGTATTTAAATACTTAAGCGGCCTATACACATGCAGGCAAGTGTTAGGACTTGCCTGTCCACGTCGAGACACGCGAGTAAGTGGGAATGTGTATGTGTCAAAACTCACGGCGCGTTCAGTTCCAAGCGCGGCTCGAAGCGAATAAGATTGTGTCTGATTTTTAGAGCAAATGCGAAGGCCAACTTCATTTTCCGCACAGCAGCAGGCCCCACCAACTGGTGAACCTCGAGGTTTACCTGAATAGTGTGTGGCCGCAATTCGTTTCGCACCTGCTCGCGGACTTACCTGGACACACTTGTCTGCATGTGTATGGCCCCCATTACGCACAAGCAAATTGGGGAGCAGCATCATCCTGTTGAAACCAAATCTATCCATCTGGCAGGTCAGGCTGATTTGTATTTGGGAGTAGAAATTTAATAATTTTAAAGAAATTGGAATTATTAGGATGCAGAAAGATTTTGATCGAAGAAAAAGGTTCAATAATTATGTTATTTACAATCCCTTCCGAACATTTATTTTTTGTGGACGTTGTGTACGATATTCTCTCATCCGTCTGGGATTATTTGGCTTCATCAGTAAATAGTATTTGACCATGAAAAAATGCATTTAAGTTGCAAATTTTCATCCAAAACTGTAGTCTGCCGTCGGGATCATCTTCGTTCAATTCCTGTAGTAATCTTAAATAATTAAAATTTCAATTCTATGAGATTCATTTAGATGCGCCATATTCACTAGTTAGCTACGTACCTGTTTCAATTTCAAAATTAAATGTCACCAATGCAACTTCTTTTTCGTTTAGCACCGCAAAAGATTCTGGTATAAAAAATATGAACCAAAAATCTATAGTGTGCCGGTTATGAAATTGAAAACGTAACTCAAATGCTATGAACCCGTTGGCGGTTTCCTTCATTCAGGACCTTTGTTTATATTGTTCCATTATATTGCGTACAGGGTGTATACGACGAGGCAATTTTCATTGACATTAAAGGTTTTTTTTGCGTTATATTTTTAATACTGCAGGGCTTTTTTTGACAAATTCCATCCAGGAAAAGGCAAATAGTACATATGCAACCCATCTTGAGGCTTGAGGCTTTAGGCTTTACAAGCCTGCGGAGTGAGGGGGGTTGTATTGGTGGTTTTTGGGAGCTACCTTACAGACCACCCCCAACAGGTCAAGATCGGAAAGACTATGAGCGAGATCGGAACAGTTAAACTCGGCATACCACATAGTTTTCTCTGCAGAAACTTGGTCAGAAGTCAGAGAACAGGTAAAGACGACTTTTATGTGCAGAATGTAGTTTAAATATTGAAAAAACACACTATATTGTGAACAATGCAACCGAACCCCTGAAAGAGTGCGCCTGTATCACATATTTAAGTGTAGTGATAGATAACCATTTAAAATGAGATCAACATATTCTTTGCCTGTGCAAGAAACTGGGATGCATCACACATACATTCTATCTATTTTAAATTATGTAATATAATTTTATATATTATAACCTACAAAGCAGTAGTGGGGTCCCTATAAAATTAGTGCTGGCATACTGGTATTGGGAGGAGCACAGAACTATCATCTAAACTAAATAAAATAACAAAGAACTATATTTTGCGCACTTTAGTGAGAAAACCAAGACTATATCCATATCTCTTGTATTGTGGCGATATATTTGAAATTAGGAGTTTGTAAATAATAACTGCATGTAGTTTGGTCCATACAAATGAAAAATTTTATCTTATTTAATAATAAATAATAATTAAAACACACTTTTGAAATTATCTTACAGTTCTCGATATTAGTAAATGAGGTGCCTTATTTTTTTTTTGTTTTTTTTTATACTGTTGGTATGGTTTTTTTGCCTTTTATTTTCGGATATATTTTCAATGTTTCCAAACCTTTTATTATTATTATTATTTATTTTTTTTCCTCCTTATTAGGGTAGCAGCTTTAGTGGGGTTTATTAACCAGTCACTAAAATTGTGGGGGGGGGAAGGTTTATGTCTCCGGGATATTCAGGGTCTTTCGGACGATTTTGCAAGTTTCAAGTATTACGGACTTTTGCATTTTTGTAACGATGGTTTTATTCGTTATATTCAGTCTATCCAGGTATCCTGCAAGCTTCTTGGTAACTAGCCCAGTGGCTGATATAATTACAGGGATAACATGTACTGCTTTTAGGGTGAGTATTTTTTAATATTCCTCTGCCAAGTCGTAATACTTATTAATTTTTTCTCTTTCTTTCTGTTCCAGGTTGTGGTCCGAGGGATGTGAGACGTCGATGAAATACGCCTTTTTATTAGCCTTATCCAGCAGAATAATGTCTGGTCTATTGCTGGCTATTGGTTTATCTGTTACTATAGGTGTATCCCAGTATAGCCGATAATTTTCGTTATCAAGAACTGGAGCAGGTATGTATTTAAAATATGGACTGTATTTTCCCTCTCCTAGGTTGCATAGCATTGCTAGTTCTTGGTGTACAATATTTGCTGTTAAATTGTGCCTTTTGGTGTATTCAGACGGAGCTAGCGTTTGACATCCTGCTATTACCTGTTCGATCTTCTCTGGCACCCGTCCACACATACGACATTTATCATCATCTATTCTGATCTTTTGGATATACTTCTTATAATTCCTAGTCGCTATGCTTCCATCCTGAATAGCTGTGATAAATCTTTCAGTTTCAGCGAATAGCTGCCCCTTAACTAACCAATTTGTTGATTCGCTCCCAGCAGTTTTTAAACTAGCTGGATATTTTCCATGTAGGGGCTTACTCAACCACTTCTCCTTTACCTCATCAAGTGTTGGTATCTCTTTTATTTCATTTTTTCTGAGATCTACAGTTGAGTATCTATCCGACTGACAAGCGAGCTTATGCAACGTCGAAGTATCTTTTTTACGGTGGAAGAACTTCTTTAACTGATTTACTTGACGCGTATGCAGTATGTTGAGGTCAGCCAATCCTCTTCCGCCCGTCGATCTTGGTAAGTATAGCCTTTCAGTGCATGCCTTAGGATGGTGAATTCTATGCTCTGTCATGAGGGTCCTTATTTTCCTGTTCAGCCTCTCCAAGTCAGTGTTAGACCATTTTAATATACCAAACGTGTACGTGATTACCGGTACCGCCCATGTGTTTACAGCTTTAATTTTGTTTTTTCCGTTTAGTTCCGTTTTTAATATTTTTATCACCCTGTTTTGCAGTTTAGTTTCTATATTAGCCTTAGCATTGTTCTGATTAATATTAAAATTCTGCTCATATCCTAGATATTTATAATACGCGTTGTTAAGATACATTATTTCGGTCTCAGATTCCAGCTTATCATAAGTTTTTGGTATACCTTTATGAGCTATAAGTTTGGCACACTTATCCAACCCGAATCTCATTTTGATGTCATCTGAGAATTGTTGTGTGAGTTGGATTAATCTATTCAGTGTGTTTTCAGATCCCGCATATAGCTTCAGATCGTCAACGTAAAAGAGGTGGCTTAGTTTATACTTTTGGTCTCCATTTTTCAGCTCGTATCCTAGGTTCGATCTTTTTAAGGCCCAGGAGAAGAGATCCAGGCTCAGGATAAACCATATAGGGCTTAGCGCATCGCCCTGGAAGATTCCACTTCGTATTGGTATTTCTTCGGTGTTCACAGATCCAGTATCAAGGTTTACAACTAATTTGGTCTGCCAGTTTTTCATACACCTTTCTAATAGATTGACTATCTTCTCATCGATTTTATAGAGTCTTAAGCATTCAATTAGCCAAGAGTGTGGCACCGAATCGAAGGCTTTTTGATAGTCAATCCATGCCACTGCGATATTGCGTGATCTGAGACGGGCATCGTGTGTAGTAATGGTGTCTATAATCAGTTGTTCTTTGCAGCACTGAGACCCATAACGACATCCTTTTTGCTCTTCTGTTAAGATATGGTGTCTTTCTAGATGCTTAGATACCTTTGTGGCTATTATTGAGGTGATTATTTTATATAGCGTCGGAAGGCAAGTTATTGGTCTATAGTTCTTAGGGTTTTCTGTTTGATCTGCCTTTGGCACCATGTAGGTAATACCTTTTGTTAGAAATTCTGGCAAGTCACTATCGCCATCCAATATTTTGTTAACCTCGCTTGTCAAATTTTTGGTTACAGCTACTTTCTTCCACCAGTAGTTGTGCAGGTGGTCTCGTCCTGCAGCCTTCCAGTTATGTGCCCTTCTTAAAGCCGCTATTACGTCTTGTTCCTCTACTTTTATAGGCTCCATGTCCGCTATAGTGGCGCAGTTATTTTTTTCTTCTTGTAGCCAAACCGCATCCTTATTATAGTTGCCCTTTTCTTCCCAGATATTTGCCCAGTACTTCGTCAGTCTTTCTACGTCAGGTGGTTTTCCCTGTTTCACATTTTCTTCATTTAATTGTTTATAGAATGACTTCTCACTGCTGCCATATTTTTTATTATCATTCTTCCTTTAATAGCTAATATTATATCTTCGCAGCCTTTTACCGAGCATTGCAATTTTCTGTTTTAGATTATCCTTTAGTATTGCCATCTGTTCGTTGTAATCTGGACTACCAATACATATTTTTCTGTCCTTAAGGTATTTTTTACATTCCTTTTTTAATTTTTTACATTTGTTGCCTCTTACCCACTCATATAGTTATGTCAGTATGCTTCTGTAGTTTTTAATATTTTTTTCAATTCTGGTCTTCCACGGTGGGGAATTTTGATTACTGGATCTTCCTTTATCACCTACTATTTTAATACGCATATACTGAATTGTTGTTATAGCAGCAACATATACGAGGGCCTGGATATCGCTTAATGTGGCCACAGGGCTTAGTACTTTGGGTAGTTCATTATTAATAACTCCGAGGCAAAAGCTGGTTTTCTTATTAGGTCGTATTTTAGGCAGCCTAGGGCGTCTTTCCGGATCTATTTTACTATACTTTACTAATATTTCTGTTTTTTCTATTTCAGGTTCGACTTCTGCGTTTCTGTTGCTGTGAGCAGTCAATTCTTCATCAACCTCAGCGACCCCATCAGGTAAGTTATCGTTGTTAAAAATGATATTATCATTATCATGTTCAGGTAAGTCATTATTATGTCCAATCAGCAATGTCTCAACCTCTTACTTAATTTTTCCGATCTCCAGTTGTGACAAAAGTTTATGAGCCCTGATTGAGTTTAGTTGACCAGCTAGCTTTTGTTCTGCGAATTTTAAGTCTGGTCTAGCTCGGTTACTAGTTTTTTTCTAAATCCCTGCTTTTCCCGTTCACCATTCGTACAGAGGAAGTACGCACGCATTAAATCAGTATTGTCTTGAGTAGACCATTTGTACCTGCGCGTTATGTTTCTGGCAATCTCTGGGGTGACTGCAGCTTCTTGCTGGGTCAAATCCTCTGAATGAGTCGCCGTTCTTCCTCTAGCCATTGTCGTTTGCCGTCTTGTGGTTCCGCTACCTGAAGCCGCGCCACTCGCCTCACGATTCTCCAGGCCAGGCTGAACCTCCGGACGGCTCCGAGAAGAGTCAGCCCGCAACTCTTCACCGCCCGGGTATCTATATTTCCTTGTCTGTACCATCACCAATTTTTGGGTATTGCAAAGTAAGCCTTTGCTGGTAGGCCTCCGATAGCCTTTATTCCCAGCCGCCTCTGACATGAGGTACAGACGCTGTTGGACGGCCGCTCTTCTAGAGACAGCTGCCATCCCCGCGGAGCTCTCATACGCCCCAGTCACGGTGACCGGGCCGGTGGAATCTCCGCGGTCCCTTTAAGGCAGGGGCTACCAACTGAGGTAGGTGGGGTCGTTGCTCCCCAAAGCACTAGCAAGCCTCAGCTAGAGCTCCTCTGCCTTATTATTATTATTATTATTATTATTATTATTGTGCGCGCCGTGCCTAACCTCTATTGTGCATTTCTATCGTCTCTAAAAACAATCTCTGTTTGTCTATTTGAAGTCAAATTAATTTATTAAAAACGGTTCATCGTGCGATTTAGTGTGTGTAGTACGTAATAAACTGTTATCAGCATCTTTCGTTTCGTAAAAAGTGTAATCTCACGTGCAACACGTGTTCATGTTAGAATTTAGACAATATTTTTTTGCTTCACGTAGTGACACTGTGCGACCGGGAAGCGACGGCGTGCACGGTCGGTGAATAGTAGTCAATTTTTATTGAGATCAATATCGTTTTACAAAGTAAAAATCTAGCCGACTGTGCGGTTGAAGGCTCTTTTGGTATAGTTAAAATTATGGCTGATCAAAGCAATGCTAAACCTTGTAAAAGGTGTAAGAGCGTGGCAGGTACTGGTCTATTGTGTATCAAGTGCGGCACGATATCGCATAAATCGTGCGTGAAAATCATGAAAAACACGAAAATTTTAGGAGGCAACAAGATTGATTGCTGTTCCTACGGAGGCGAATCCTTGGAGTCGGGTCTAATTCCTGATGATTCGGGAGCAAACGCTCCATTTGATGCCGCAAAAGAAATCATGTATTTAAAAGAACTTTTGAAGCAAAAAGATCTTGTTATCGAAAATCAAGCCATAGCCATTACCGCTCTAAAAGAACAGGTGAGCCTACTAAAAAGCAGCAGACTCCTTGAAGGGCAAACTCTGGATTCTGCAAATAGGGCTAAATCATCACAGACAGGTCCAATTAAGCAAAACGCCCCCAAGTCGGAGCACCTGAATAAAATTACAAATAAAGAACTATCTAGTGCAGTCAGTGAGGCTGTGTCACGTCAGATATGCTCTGAAATAATAGAACTGGATGGTGGGTCCAAACGCAAAAGTTCCAGAGTCCTAAACGATAGGGTCAAACCGCTTAAAGGTTCTCTTAGCGATAACTCTAAATGTGCACTTCGAGTTGCTGAACGTAAAATCAGTTTTCACATTACTAAACTGCATCCGAATACCAAAGCTGAGGAGGTCCGACAATATCTAGCACCGATAGTTAGTGGAGTAGAAGTGTTCCAGGTCCCATCAATGTATCCTGAGAGTTACTCCTCGTTTAGGGTATCGGCCATGGATCACGAAGCGCAAAAAATTCTGGATACTTCCATCTGGCCCACGGGTGTGTTGATAAATCATTTTTTCCCCAGGCGTCTGACAAGAGGAAAAACCGATCCAATTCCAGTATCAACAGAGAGACGTCTAGTGAGGGAGAATCCCGACCCAAGACTACCGATGGAGGTAGGAACAGCATTAATATCTTGAGCTACAATGTGCAGGGTCTCCTAAGTAAAGTCGATGTGATTACTGAATATCTAAATTCTATTGGTTTTGACATTGTATGTTTCTGTGAACATTTTGTAAATGGTGAGGAGTTGCTTAATATTATTAAGGTTCACAATTATAAATTAGTTGAATATTATTGTCGTCTCAGTACCTCCTGAGGAGGAACTGCTATATATGTTAAAAATAATATTGCCTGTAGCAGTCTTAATCTGAGTAAATATTGTCTGGATCTTCACGCAGAGTTTTGTGGTGTGGAGATACCAGTGCTTAATCTTATTTTAATCAATGTTTATCGCTCTGGCTCTAGAGGCAATTTTTCTATATTTGTAGAAAAACTTGAACTCTTGCTCGCTGAAAGCTTAATATTTTGACCTTACCATCACTATTTATTTACTATACAGTCACTCTCATACATGAGCTAAAGAACGATATGCCTAAGCACTGTGATCGCCACAATCAGTACACCAGGGGATCTGAATTAATTGTCCAGGGCCATTCTAGGCTGCGCACATCCGAGTTAAATAAATTGTACATTAATTACTACAATGTTCTACCAACCGTTGTCAAGGATCTGCCATTCACTAAATTTTGTAATATAATAAAACAATTTCTATTGGAGAACGCATTCTATACTGCAGATGAGTACATCCGTGTTGCGTCACGAGTGTCTCCATAATACTAATTGGGAATTTATTTATTTATTTATTTACTTATTTTTTTTTTACCTAATTTTTGTTTCAATGTTTGGTGTTTGTCTATCTGATAATTATGTTGCTCTCTATGAATGTTATTAGAATGTGTTTGATATTGTGACTTGCCATTTGTTGTTCTTGTAATGTATTTAATGGCCAATAAAGTCTAAAGTCTAAAGTCTATTATTATTATTATTATTATTATTATTATTATTATTGTTATTATTATTATTATTATTTATACTCATATCTAATCTTCTGTAACGAGGAAGGTTTGGACAATCAGGCATATACAGGTATTAATTTAAGAGTGTGTAAGTGTAGTAGTTATAAGGTTTTCTGTGGAGTAATTATTGTTGTGGATTAAGTTGAATTGTGAATTGATTAATTGATTGACTGATTGATTAAAATATGTCAATATTTAATAAAATTAATTAGACTTAAAAAAAAACAATGTAATAAATTATAAAATCGCAAACATAATTCTGACAAAGGGAAAAACAAAACAAAAACATTCAAATTTGCTTTAACAGAAGTGCAGTCCAGAATATCCAGATCTTTGATTTGACATTAAATTCGTCATTTGTCAATAAAAATTGCCGAAGAAACAATTTCCATAAAATCGTTTTACGGTAAAATGAGTACGAATGCAGAAACGTTTAATTTGTTGTCCAGCCATCTTATGCTTGCTTTAAAATTACAATTTCTCCCAAACGTGTTTCTTGATTGATTGTCGTAAATTTTGTGGCAGTTTTGAACCAGTCGAATACTGCTTCGTCTACCCTCCTCGCAAGTCGCTTTTTTTAAACGTTTTTTGTTTCGACAGGCTGGACAAAGAGCGCAAAGAACAACCGCAACCGATTTGAAATTGTTTGCACCTTCCAAAATATCAAAAGTTCCCCTTCGGCCACAATCAAATCAAAACTTTTTTTAGACCACTGGAATCTCTGAATTTTGCACAGTTGTGGGCAACCGTTTTGAAAATTTGAACATAACCAAAACTAACCAAACACTTTTTTATACCATTTTAAAATGCCTAAATTGTGCACAGCCAATTTACACCGTCAAATGCAAATTTTTTTTAAATTAGTGTTAGTTGTTTAACTCAGAAGGAACGAAAGATCTCGTCTAAAGGCATAAATCTGTAATTAATAATGAAGCAAAAAACTTCACTCCAAATCGTACGGAAATGTTACCTTTATATTTTTATCTGGGAAACCTGTTCACTTTTTCTTCTTTAAGCTATATTGTACTATAAGGTGCACAAATTTAAAATTTGTATATTGTTTATGATGGCATCTGCTATTCCGTTTTTCCGCGCACCTGTCTGTACTTTTTTAATAATCTTATATTTTACCTGAATGTATATTTTCAACTACCTAATCTGATCAATAATTGTTGTATAATTGCGCCAACTCTTTCGGCCTCCCACGTATTTCAATTTCAACGTTGTTGAGTGATTCACCTTGAAATATTGGGTCTTATCGCGAAATTCGAGTTATCAAAAAACCAAAATCATTTATTTTTCAGATTTAAGGAATGATCGATGTTCGACTTATCAGGAGGTCGACTGTACTTATATAAATTATTATAACTAAAAAACAAAATTATTATTTTTTACAAAAAAATTGGCAATAGGGAGAAATAGTAAAGAAAAAATAAAAATTAAATGTTAAAAAAGAGGAAGAGCCACTATTTGCTTCTAATCCTCTCTAATCTCTAATTTAACAATCCTAAAAATGCGTATAGAGTTCGGATAAGTTGAACTGCGGAAACCAGGGTTTTATCTTGCCCAAGAAGGTTTTGAGCGAGTATTGTCTCTGTATAGTCATAGTTTAGTTTTAAGTTTCCTAAAGACAACGTCAAATGTGCTCCATTTTTAAGGGGAGGAGCTTTGGATGAATCTCGATAGACAAACGAAAACTCGGGAGTCTATAGAAATCTATAAACAACCTGACAATCTTAACCGCGACTCAAGTCTTTATCTGTCACCAATATGGGAATCACTTACCTCCGCCCCTCTCAAACAAAATATAAGCAGGTACAGAGTAAAATGCGAGCCAGTTGCAGTCAAACTCTGAAGAAGGCAACAGGATGACGAAACGTTAGCAAGTTAGACTCAGCAAAAACCGACGCAGGAGGAATCCAGAAGTTTTACAGTATTACAGTAGCCTGTGGAAGTTTCTTTGAATAACTATGTAGCATATATTTTTGATATACCTACATTACCTACCATTGAATAAAGCAAATACACTAACCATAAATAGAGTAGTCAAACTATAAACTAACTTTACTAAAATACTGAATGTTTTCTTTGTCGCCTACCTTGACAATATTAAGTTCAAGAAATCCCATACGCAAGAAGTCGGATCCACTTCTTAACACCACTATACTATACTATATCTACGACACACAATCCTTCATAAGACTACAACATTCCGCAAATTACTCCCTCCTTTTTCGTTAAATTTTTGAAAAATTTTCACTGACTGGTCATCATTCCAACTTTTACTTTAATATGGGAAAATACTTCGTACCATTTATTTCTTTTACTTCTGTTAGTTGTCTTGCAACTGTAATAATAAATAAAAAGTTATTTTAAAATTTATGAATTAAAATCTCCGGATTTAAATCTTAATGACGCCAATTTTCAGATGAGTGACTGCTTAATATAGGAATAGATAGAAGCTTGAGCTTTATTAAAATGGTGCAAAATGAGTGTAATTTTTCTTTCTAATGTTTATGTTAGGCATATTCCACAACCCGTCATAACTCTTAACACAATCTGACTATTCAAAAATTTTCCCTACCGCAACAATTTTACAGATTCCTGGAAAGATTTTTTGTCGTAAAAAATTCTTCTTTTTTAAAGCTTCGAATAATTACGCGGTTTACGCTTTTTGCTGTCCCTAACAATGTGTCAACAAGATGTAAATCACATGCACTTCAAAGTTATCTGAATTTTTTAAATAATTTATGATTCATTTGTAATGATAATAATCATCTCACGCAACTATTTAATCGAAGATTGGAACAATTCTATTCATTATAAGTTGATGTTCTAAACTCATAGTGCATCATGAAGTTGTTCTTAAGTCTTTTATTTGTTTCACCTGCGGTAAGTCTATATTACGATCACGAACGTATATATCTAAACTTCATTGTTACTAAAGCTACGATTAAGGCATATAACTTTCATTTAATTCTTCTAATGGGACACTGTGCATTAGCCATCCCCTTTTTTAACATTAAAAAATAATAAAATAAATTTAAAATCACGGGAAAATGACGCAAATATGTTGGGGGAATTGTTCTTTAAAATTTAATTATATGTCCTCCCAGTGTCAATAACAAAGAAGTTTGCAATAGTCCTGGTTCGATATGTATCTACACGTTGCGCAATGTTAAATAGCTCTGTCGAAGAATAACTAAAAACACTCGGGGAGAGTCTCCATTTTCCACTTCGCAAATCGCCGACGAAGGCGCTTAGCAACAAAAGAAAAATGTAAATTTGGATATTATTTTGGCAATTTATTATTGCATTATACCCCAACTATAAGTTGGGGTTTACCTTCGTGGAATGACGTCACTTTTTGTTATTTTTATTTAATCTGTCAACTGACACAGACAAAACAAAAAATTAAAAAAAATATTGTCGTTTCTTTATAACAGTCAATGCCGATTTTAGTTATGCGTCTTTCAGAATATATTCGTGAAAATTGACATTGATGTGATTCTTCATAAACTTTTGCAAGATGCCGCGCAGATACAATTAACAATTACAGTTAGGAGTTTGGAATATATTGCCTTTTTTTCCATTAGAAAAAGGTCAAGCTCAAAATGCATTCCTTCGGCATATTGATACTGTAATTGAACGAACTTCCAATGCAACACTACTTAACGAAACAACAATCATAAATATCAGTGTATACGTTTAGGTTAGGGATCATTCTTAAAATATAAATAATATAAGACATACGTTATTTGAAACTGTACTAGTACTATACTCATGCACTCCAAACTTGGGTTTATAAGGTACACTTTCGGGGTAACATTGCTTGCCTGAAGAAAAACTTAGTCAAAGGAATATTTTAAGCATTTTTAATTTTCTGTGGTATATTTGAACCTTTTACCTTACTATATCACAAACTATTCGAATTCACAACAGGTGTCGCTGTTTATAATATATTTTTTGCAAAAATGAAATATTAAAACGTTAAGACAACCTTTTGCCCTATAAAACGCACTTCTCCGAATCACCAACGTATTTTAAGTCAAACCTTTTATTTTCTGCATGACTCACGTGAAGGTTAATAATTCAAAATAGATTATTATCTTGAATTAAAGATTAGGTACATACAGGGGCTCGACAAAGAGTGTTGAAAAATTGGAAAACTTTAATAAATTAATTACACAGCAGTAGTTTCCGAGCCAATCCAGTCAAACTTTCTTTATTGATATTTTTGCAGATTGTGACTGAACAGAATTGCAAACAAATTAAATAGTCTTATGCAAAATACTTCCAACCCTCAAATCAATAATATTGAGATATTTGTAAATGAGCTTTTTTCCAAATAAGAAAATCTGTAGCCAACGCATACAAAATTGAATACAAAAAAACAGAGGCAACAGTACAACTATCATCTTACTTTACAGTATACCAAGTTTTCATTGATTTATTTTCTCAAAAATACCAAACATTTTGCAATCTGTATTAATATTTAAGTGAAAAATACACTGGAAGTGTGAGAAAATATACCATTGAGCGAGAAGTGCTATCTACTTACATAATATTATACCAGTGTCAAGTTAGCAGCCCAAATATGGAACCAGCCGAACCGATCAGTTGAGGCGGATGTTTTTAAGATAAATTTAAGAAGCAACTGTTTCACACTAAACTGAGGTTTGAATATTGAATCAAATACAAACCGATATACCGTGTTATACAGTATTTCTCATATCAGTTTACGAGAGCTGTTGTATGATGGAATGTTAAAATATTAAACCTCTTTTGGTTCAATGTGTACATAGAAGATAATTTTAGTTTTTACAGAAAAAAATATTTTTCTTTCTACTCCTTTTTCTGAAATTTCCAGATATACACCAATCATTTTGCTACGTTGGTTTCGTTACCTGCTGCGAGCGACTTCGGATATTTCCGAATTTGCAAGCTATCGGAGGTTTTCGGAGAATTTGCACAAGACTTAAATTTAGAAGTTTGTCAATTTTGACGGTCACGTCATATGTCACTCCGTGAATGTTGTTTTGCAAAAATGTCCTGAAAAACCCCAAAAGCAGTAGTAGAAAAAGTATAGTATATAAAACGTTTGGTAAAGTTTTTAATTCACTCGTTTATTGAGCATTCGGTGCTCTCCGCTCGTGCCAAATAAACTCGTGACTTAAATACCCGTTAAATGCCTATTAAATCAGCGGCAAAAAAAAGTGTAGAGCAACTGATGTGATAAGCTTCAGCTAACAAATAAAAGAATATAAATTTTGGAGTGGAATAAAGCAGTTATGATGTACCAGGCTATGGAATTATCTGTTCAATTTGAGGTTAGAATGCCGTTTACCAAACTAGTTGCATAATATGCTATTTCTACTGTAATCGAAATTAACACTGTTTAATTTCGATTAAAATATTTTCTTACACTCCCTTACGAGGGTAAAACGAAACGAATGAAAATATATTTTTCTACTTAAATCGAAATTCACAAACTTTCATTTCTTGATGAAAATGTGCCCACCGTGGATAACTTTCGTTTTTAGTTAAAATATTCGATTGCATTCCCATAGGATGAAATTAGAAAACCTAAAATATTTTTTTCTACCTGAATCGAAATTTACACCAGTTTATGGTAATGAGTTACCGGACCGCGTTACTTTAAATAACCTCTGGACAGAATACGATGATAGAGATGTAAAAGAAATTCCATGTTCGCCGCAAAAAAGCATTTTCTGTGGTCATAACTTTCGCTCAACATATTAAATTGATTGGGCAAAATTTAGAGATGGGTGGAAATTTTGATTTTTTTGGGAAACCATATTTGTCTCCAAGAAAGTGCGCAAAAATTAATACCGTTCCTAAGTTTTAATTTGGTTGAAGTCAGATGGGTACTTTGAAGTTTTTAAGATTCTAAACATTGCCCAGAAAGCTGGTCAAAATTTCAAATTGGTTGCGTCCAATCGGCCAAAATTCAGTGATTCTAATAGTGTAAAAAAGTTTTAACTTCCTAAAAATCGAGTGGGGAGGGGTTGTGGGGAAATGTTTGAGTTTGAGTGCTCACAAGTATTCTTAATAAGTATGGAAAACCTTCGAGATCGGCAATGTTTCTTACGCAAACGGAGAGTAGCCCTTCTGGTCTTTAGTTATTTTTCGATGGCAGCATGTATAAGCGACAAAATACTTAATAATTATAATCTGCCGCGATTCTAGTTTTCAGACATTATAGTCGATACCGCGGATGGTAAAGTTCGAGGGTCCGAACTTGTGTACCAAGACAAAAGCATATACGCTTTCCGAGGAATCCCGTTCGCGAAAGCTCCCATAGGAAACTTAAGATTTCAGGTAAAAAAATATCACCACGCAATGAATTTGGCATTATGTCTCTTAAAATATTGTTTAAAATTTCCCACTCTCTTATCTGAATGGTAAAATATTTTAACATATAATACATAATAACCATCAGGCTCCGGTACCGGCGGAACCATGGGAGGGTGTTTTCGACTCAAACAATGTAACTATATGTTGCATTCAAATGGATGATGGTTCCTCAACCACAACTAACCAAAGTATTAGAACAATCCAACAGCAGGAAACTGAAGATTGTCTCCGTATTAACGTGTTCGCGCCCAAAAGAAACGTAAGTTGTCAGAGACTTAAACTCAAAACTTCTTCTTCTTCTTCTGGACTTTGTTGACTGCTGCTCTGAATAATCCTCGTGTTGACAGGAAAAACCAACTTCTAAGATTTTCAACCAGGAGATTCTACGTCTTTCAGGTCCTCTTCGGCCCAAAATCTTTCCTTGGAGTATCAATTGCAGCAGACCATACCTCTTTTGGTTCCTCTTTATATGTCCCAGATATTCTAATTTGCATTTCTTAATGATGACTATTTCGGGGTCTTTCTGAAGAATTTCTAAAACTGTCTTGTTGGGAACGTGATCCATCCAGGAAATTCTAAGAATTCGTCTGTACAGCCACATCTCAAACGCTTTAAGTTCCTTCGTGGACGCTTCCGTCAATGTCCAGGGCTCGGCACCATACAAGAGTACAGACCAGACATAGCAATTAAGTAGTCTTAGTTTGATTTGCAAATTAGGGTATCTACTCTTAAACATGTTTCCCCTTCTAACGAATGCTTTCTCTATACGGCATTTTATTTCTACAGAGCGATCCCCGTGCACATTAATCGTAGTGCCAAATATATATAATTAGCTACTTTTTCGATTACCAATTGACCGGGTTGTATGTAATGCTTGCTAATTTCAATGAACTTGTTTTTTTTATATTAAGAGATAGGTCGTATTTAGTGTTGGCGTCAAAGACACGGTTCATCAATTCTTGGAGACCTTCGAGGGAATCAGCGAACACAACAGTATCGTCGGCGTAACGTATATTGTTCAGCCAATCTCTGTTAATCAGCACTCCGGCGTCCACATTCTCCAGTGCCATTTAAATATATGTAGAGATTAAATAAGGTCGGAGACAAAGCACAGCCTTGTCAGACACCGCGTCTTATATTTATTTCTTCCTTCCACTCTGACTCTGTGTTTGATGCCAGTACAGATTTATTATAAGACATAAATCTTTCTCATCAATGCCTATTGTTCGTAGAGCCTCTATCATTTCGTTGTATCGGATGTTATCGAATGCCTTCTGTTGGTCTATCAGGCAGAGGTATACCTTACAGTCAACACCCCCACAGCGCTGAAAAACAACCTGAATAGCAAATAAAGTTCTCATAGCAATTCTGAATCCAAATTGTGTTTAGATAAATTATTATCAGAAATAACTTAAGAAGGTGGCTTATGAGAATAATTAGTCTATAATCATCGCATTGTTTTGCACTGTTTTTCTTAGCAATAGGGATAAATGTGGATTTCAGCCAATCTTGTAGAATATCTCCGGAATCGTGAATATGGTTACATATTTTTGTCAGCCACATCTCTGTCCAGAAGTTTCAGGAATTCCACGTGAACGTCATCTGGTCCTGAAGCTTTTCCAGCTTTCATTTCTTTGACGGTAATAGGTGGGCCCCAGTTGGTGTTGATTATTGAGATGTCAGTTCTCTCATCCCGGAATAGAGTGCAAATATTTCAATTCTCCTGTCTTTATCTGTAATGAGATTGTTTTGGTCATCCAATAGGCGTTCCGCCATATGTGTTTTAAATAGACCACTTCTTTGCTCCTACGATGCCTGTTAAAGCTATCGTGTTTTTTTTCAAGATCTTCAATTTCTAAGCACTATTCTAAAGCCCATCTTTCTTTAGTCTGTGTTATTTCTTTTCGTATGGTTCTTTGAATTTCTCTGTATTTATCTTGAATCTTGTCTTTCAATCTGAGTATTCCGTCAGTCATCCATCGTTTCTTCTTTCTGTTTTTGTCAGGCCTCAGAATAATATCGTTTGCAGATTTCATAACAGATCGTAGTTTATTAATTTCAGTGTTCACCTCTTCAATAGTGTCATTGGCTTCTAATTTTCCAGACATGTGTTGTTTCACTTGATCTTTTATTGCTGGGTCCTTTAGTTTAGTCTTGTATTGGGAAACTACTAACCTTAATGTTCCGTGAGGGTTACAATATACAAGTTACAGCTAGAACAGAGTTTCTTATTCCTCTTAATTTAAATTCTGAGTTTTGATAACGTGGACAAAATAAAGTAAGCGCAGTGATGTGATCGCGGATAATTTATTGCTTATAATTTCAACATTTAAAATATCAATTACTTGTCTTTTTTTTAGGTCACTCTTTGCAAAATTAATTAATTATTGACTACTACGAATTAGGTTTGTGCCAGTTTAAATAATTAAATACAAATACCGTTATTTTTTCGGTTTATTGTAATCTTTTTTTAAAAGGCAATTTTCATTTCTTCCAATACATAAAATGTAATAGCAAATAAACAATTTCTTTTTTTTATTTACACTTTTTCAGAATACCGAGCTGTTACCGGTAATGTTCTCGATATACGGGGGTGGTTTTAAAATAGGATGTGCTACAGACAACCTTCTAACTCCTTACAAATTGGTAAACGACGGCGTGATAGTAGTTTTGGCGAACTACAGGTTAGGACTTTTTGGTTGGTTATCTACGGGAGACGATGTTGTCTTGGGCAACGCCGGGTTCAAAGATCAGTTGTTGGCTTTAAAATGGGTCCAAAAAAATATAGAACAATTTGGTGGCGATCCGACAAAAGTTACTATATTAGGACAAAGCGCTGGAGCCATATCGGTTGGGGCCCACATCGTCAACAAGAAATCTGCTGGTACTAATTTGTTTTAAATCTCAATTGTTTTTGTTACGATTATCGTCTTTGCATTTTAGGATTATATAGAGCTGCAATATGCCAAAGCGGATCCGCTTTGTTTAACATAGCATTGGTATCGCAATACGACCCCAAAGAAGTTGCCTACGATCTCGCCAAATTTATAGATCCTACAATTTCAGAGAGAAATACTTCTACTGAAATAAAAGACTTTCTTCAGAGTCAACCTGTCGACGTACTAAGTCAAGCATTTACAGCGAACCCGAAAGTAAGTTGCTACTACTAATTATTACTTTCTGTGAACGTCTAGTCTTAACCATATAGCTATTAGTTAATATAGTGCTAATACTATATTATAAAATATATATTGGACGCATGCCTCTACATCTCTAAACAACATTACCACTCACTTGACTTGTTTCCCTAGAACATTTAACAAGATCTAAGCATATTTCGAAAAAATACTGACGTGAAAATGTCGGGTCCAAACTTATTAAAAATCTGTCGGCGGCCATGTCGGTTGTTGAATGTGGATATTCTCAATTTTAATCTCTACTAGCCATATGGTCTTAATAGTAATTTTTTATTTCTGATAGAAAAATTTATTTTTCTATTTGGAAATCTGTCTAACTTCACTTATTTTTTTATCAACCTTATTTTTAATGGCACCCTATTTTCGTAAATTATTATTCGGAATCAATTTCTTTGTGAACATTTTCATGTGATGATGTTCCATTTTGCCTTGACACTTGGGATGTAAATAGCTTAGAAATTTTATCCGCTTCGACGAAGCTATGTGTACCCAAGATTTGATAAATAGTATATAATTTTAATATCAGTCACCCAACTAAGGGATACTGCACATTAAAACGTCACTTTAGTCACGGGCTCCGAGCGATCGAATGTTTTCAGTAAATTTTAAACATTGATAGTTTTTTGACGTTTATCATTTCCGGTGGTTACTCACTAGATGTATCCGTGCTGTTGTGTAAAAATGTATCTACAAACTTCTTGCCAAACTGGTCTCGCTTTAGAAGTTTATAAATAACCCATTAAAATAGCATATTATGGCACGCTCCGAGCGAAGAAGAATTAAAAAGGATCAACGAGTTGTACTTTTTCTTCCACTCTTAGGTTTTGGATACATTTTTGCAAATGATCACGAAAACATCCACTGAGTGACTTATCCCATGACCGTCAGACTTGACATCAAACTTCAAAATACCATGGCCAAAATCTACCGATCGCCCCCAAACCCGTGACTAGAACACGGAAAACGTCCAAAGTAGCTCGCGACCAAGTTTATGAGTATAATATAATCTTTCAGCCTGTTTGATCTGTACATAAGAACATTACTGGGTATTAAACAGTAGGAGTAGAAAAAACATATAATTTTAACTGTTTCAAGATCTCAGCTGATTTTTACATGCATTATGCTAAAAATATGATTATTTGTTTATTTTGGAATGTATTTCGGATTTTAAAAGATTTCATGGCGTATTCCTCACCCTAACATCCATCTTTGTCGATGTTCAGCCTCCTTTGTGTAGGTTCCTCCTTTCTAGCATTTTCTTGGTCTACTCTTTTTTCTTTGGTTTGGATTCCAGTTGACCATCCCCTCTAGCCATCTCACAATATTTAGAACATTATCTATTTGTTAAAGTGAGCCCTTAAACCCCAACTTTCGATCATATAAATATAATTTTTGCGGGTTTTGTTATATACTTGATCCAGAGTACTGAGACAAGTTGCCTGATGGCTCCTCTTCTTTGGGCCATTCTGATCTTTATCTCAGCGTCACATGATTCATTTTTTGTTATCATAACATACATTTCGACAGTTCTTACATCCAGTTCTATATTCTTGCGTTCTTGTGCGTTTCCTCTAATTACGGCATATTCCCTTTCAAGGGTATTGATCGAATATACATTAATTTGTAATTGTCTTGACATATATGCAATGTTTTTAGCTTCAGTTTGATCCGATCATCTGCACTGGTCGACTGCAGATTTTAAATAGATTTTTAAAAGTGTCGAGGCGATGTGAAACTCTTGGGCACAGACACTTTGTCTCCTATTTTCACACAGATTTGCCAAAACGTTCCTAAAAATACTTTAAGTCGCATTATTCTCGCAATTTTAACATCTGTATAATTCATTAAGTTCATTTTAAATAGTTTTCAAAAAAAACTCCAATAAATGAAAACTGAACCCAACAAAATCGGTGGTTGCAGTAGAACATACTAATTAAGAAACTTCATCATCATACAAAATCACATTACCTAATTTGCTGACATTTTTAGATCTTGATGCTGTTGAAGCAACTGCTCTAGAATACGATACCAACAGCCTCAGCTTGATACCCAGCGATTTGAAACCGTTAGACGGCGTCGATTTGAACGAAGTTGCAAATGTAATAAAAGAGACATACGTCGGCAAATCCGGATCATTTTCAACAAATTTGGCAGCTGTTGTGGAGGTAAACGAAAAGATGTATGTTAGCTGAATCATCATCTTATATATTTTAGTATAATAGCGACACCATGTTTATAATATCGGCGTTAAAGCACGCGGAACTCCAGTCGAAATATACGGCCGTTTACTTTTATGAATTCTCCTATGAAGGTCTTCCATCTCTATTCCATATTAATGTCGAAGGTGAGTACTGTACAGTGATATATGATAACACAATTAGAACATATAGAATCAATCACATTGACCATATTTTAATGACTGAGGGTATACAATCTGAAATTTCTGCCATCGGTTATGGGAAACTTATATTTTCAAGATCGTTGCACCGTAAGTGGATGTCAACTTGCTTTTCGTTTCTTTGGAAAATTTAACACTTGTGATGCTTTGTGATTTCTATAGAAATACAATAAATAAATAAATACATAAATACAATAAATAAATTACAAAAATAATTAGTATTAGACTTAATAATTTTCTTAATTATAAATATGTTCAAATAAGATAATGTTCTAATGTAAGATAATGTTGATATTTGTCTATTTGCTATGCCGTCATGTTTAGCTCCTATTACTTGAACATAAAATAAATATATTCCCAAAAATATAAATATTCGGAATGTACATTCTTAAAAAAACAAAAAATGTCAAAGGGTTCTTGACCCCCGCAAAAGCCCTGGTAACAATACTATGAAAATTAACAAACCTCTACATCGAATACCAGATTGACCTCATCAATTTTAGTATCATCCCAAATTTTGAGCTATGCATATACGGCTACTTCTGGGGTACCCTTAGGTTCACACTTGGGACCTCTATCTGTTTCAGGTATTGCAAATATCTTGCCTATGCAGAAGAATTTTGTCGCTTAGTTTAATTTCATTTAAATCTGTTATTTGATACTGTCACAGGTACTTAATATAGACAAATGCAATTTTATCAAATTTATTCGTAATTTTCATAAGCATTCGTACGAATATAATTTAAGCAATGTAGTTTTATAAGAAGTAGATTCTGTTTAAGATTTAGCCATTATTATGGGAAAAAAAAATTCTCCTTGCATATAGACTAAGTGATAGCTAAAACAAAGTAGTAGTCCGCAATATGAGGTCTGACATTGACTTAACAACTTAAGCAATTTTTTTTTCTCAAACCAATCGAATCCAGCAAAAAATTATCAAAGCAAACTACCTAATAGAATATATGAATGATATAATACATTCTTAAGTACATTTATGGAATATGGTGTACATATTTATATCTATTTAGTATATGGTTAAACTGGTATTAGTTTGTCATCCGTACACCATTATATACTAGTGAATATTGCTCAGAGCTCTTTGCCTGTTGATACGCCTCTGTGGTTAGATATTTAATATAAACAAATAAATAAACTAAAAATCTGTATCGAATTGTGTCACATAATTTGAAATGTCAAAAGTACATAAAAATATTTTTGCTTTATTTCCGTTTAATACAAGCTTACAAGTAAAAGTATTTTTATTTTATACAAGCTATTTATATAACCAATGAGAAAAATCCATTTTGCGAGACGATTTACAATTTTGTTCTATTCTATTCTATTCGTTTAGTATTAATCATTTTAGTAAGAGACAAACACCTGCCGAAAAACTTATAAGGTAGAATAATCACTGTTAGAGTTGAACTCTGCTCATTTTTATACTACAAGTGTTCTTAATCAATTTTAAACTTCCGCCACTGAGGTAAAATCGCGCTTTACACTTTGCGCAGGTCTGGAAGGCTACGTTGCGCACGGCGTAGAGTCTTATTATCTTTTTCCGAACTTGATAATACCGTCATTCCCGGAAGACAATTTGACGGGAGATAGACTAGTCAGACTTTGGACAAACTTTGCGAAAACGCTGTAAGTCTATTTTTTTAAGTTCGTTGACCCTACTCTAGCATTAATCTTTCTTTGTAGAAATCCCACTCCTGACCTGACGGATCCACTTCTTAACGTAACCTGGCCGCAAGTTTTGCCTGCGGATATTCAGTACTTAAACATCAATAAAACTCTAGACGCAAAACGAGACAGGAGAGCCAAAGAGTTTGCCATGTGGAACCAAACTTACTATACCTACGGCAAACAACCTTTTATAGGATTTTAAAATCCTACACACATTATTAACCAATGTTTAATTGAAAACAAACACTTTGAAAAAAAAACGAAAATTTCATTTTTGATTTTAGTTTTATAGTGCAAAGATTTATCAATCTGCAACTGAATCCATTGAAGATGAATCATACTTATAAACCTGAAATAATAACAATCTACTCTTTTACTTTAGAGAATAATAAGAGATAGTAAGATGTTCTAGTGAAGTTTCAAGGAGTTATTCTTGCATTACTAGCTTTCGTATGTGATATGTTCGCCTTCTCGGATTGGACAACTGAGAATTAACTTGTTGATTATGGATTAGGGTAGTTTGTATTCCATTGAAAAGCTCGCCACTTTTCGTTCGCTTTGCTAGATGTTCGAGAATGTTGCCAAATCCGAAGACAGATCTTCTCTCTCTGAAATAAAATCCTCGTAAGGATTTAAAATATCCATTTGATATATTTTTTTTTAGAAACGCTTTCAACTGTTCAGTCCTTTCCCTATGAAAATTTAATAGAAAATCACGTTGTCCCTTTGTATGGATGACCTTGCTACTTTCGAAAAATCTACATTTTTCAGCGTTATTTGAAATGGTTACCATGTAAATATTATATTAAAGCACTAGTATTCTATAAATTCATTTAATTCGAGCGATTCATTTGAAACTGAAATTTTCTACTCCCTTTTGCAAAATATCTAATTATACTCCAATCAAACGTGTGGAAAGTGTCATTTTACCATGTCAATTTCGTTTCCCACGGATCCGAGTCACTTCGGACATTTCCGGGATCTTACCGCACGGGTTCGGGAGTAATGAGATGTTTTCGGATATTTTACCGCACTGCTTGAGTTTTGATGTTTGTCAATTCTGATAATCACGTCAGTGAATGCATTCGTATTGTTTTGCAAAAATGTACCCTAAAACTAACGGTCGTAGAAAAATTATAGTATATGTTATACAAATGCCGTTAAAATACAAATAGACTCTTCGTCACACTCATCACTGTCTTCGTATGCAAGAGATCTTCATCCACTTGGTCAATGAACGCCAGAATTGTATAAAAATCAATAAAGATTAAATTTCAGTATTTGCTTCTTCTTCTGTGATAATTTCTACTGATGATGATAACCAATCTCTCTCGAATCATTTCCATTTTTATTTTTCTTTTTCAAAGTACCAACCATATTCAAGTCGATCTACATCTGAAAGATCTTTTTTATAGGCGTTCACCCAAATTATTCGATATATAAATTTTCCTGACAAGGTGTTGCAATTCTCTTTAATAAACTCCAAAGGACGCACTTGATCTAAGCAGGCATTGATGAAGACAGTGATTGAGAAGATAATTAAGATCTATTTGAACATAGACAGAACGAAGTTGCGGCAAGTAATACGAGAGGTTTGCTAAAAGAATAGAACACAATTTCTCTATCGATTATTACAACGTTGAGCAATCATTAATTGTATAGTAATATATGGTTGCGAGACCTGGACACTAAAGGAAGATACTGAGGAAAATATTCAGCCCAGCCAGGGAAAAAGGAACAGAACAATACCTAATGAAAAACTAACCAGGAATTCAAATATCTGCAGGCAGATGGTAATATAATAAACGAAGTAAAGACAGGGAGATTACAGTGGGCAGGTCACTTAAGACGAATGACAAATCTCGTATTAGGTGGAAAGATAACAATGAACAAGATCCAAAAGTCATGAACACTGAAGATGTCAAGGAAATAAGACAAGCCAGAAGAAGATTGAGGCATCTAGTGGTCCGCAAAAGCCCGCATATGATTGTGAAGCCAAAGAGGAGGAATTAAACACTTTGATTCTTTGAATTCTGACGATATATTCGTAATTTTTTTTTCTCTTGTAATTAAATACTTAAATTTAATTTCATATAAATTGCTCCGTCGCTAGCTAACCTAACTTACTAGAATTTCCAAAATTGAGTAAATGATGGAGACATTCTGGAACAATGGAAAATATCCTTCCTTTACATCAATTTACACAAAGGGTGCCAAAGAGGTGTGATAAAAATGGAGGTATCACGTTTATCAGCACAATCAACCAAGTTCAAGCAAAATTGAAAATAACAAGATTAAACATAAATACTTAGAGAGTGAAACAAAAGAACAAGCGGGTTTTCGCGTAGGACTGTCGACCTATTCTGCGTTATCCAGTTTACTAAGAAAATATCTACTTACAACCAGGAAATACTTGTTCGTGGACCTTAGAAAAACCTATGACAGCATGCCGCTAGTAAAACCTGGGAGGCATTAGATCGGACAATACCGGATATATCGGACAGCACCGTAATAAAGGCTGTTAAAGAACTGTTCAAATCAAAATCGGTACCAATCGATCTAACAGGTTTACACCAAACAAGGGCCTCAAAGAGAGGTGTTGCTTGTCACCCACACTGTTTAAGATTTAATTCGAACAAGCCTTTAAGATATGGAAGCGGAAATGCGAAAATACGATAATTCATCTTAATAATACAATCGTGTACACCCTTAGTTTTACAGATAATGAAATTGTCAAATTGCAACGGAGATGAACTTCTGGAGAAGAAGAGCAGGAAATTCAAAATGAGTTCACAGTGAAATAATTCATTCAATCATAAATCGACGAAATAAGAACAAAGCAACTACGGTGGGAGGGATGAAGGATAACGACTTCCTAAGCAAATACTTACTTGTTCACTTAATGGAAGAACAAAGGGAGGAAAGCCAAGAAGAAGCTGGATTGAAGGCTATAGATAAAGAGATCAAAGAGAGGGGACTAGAAGAAGACCTGCGGAATGATGGAGACCAATGGCAGTTGAGAATCGTAACAAGTCGGAGGATGTAGCTTTAGGAAATCCTACCCTGTTTTGTAGGTGGGGGCAGGGCAGCTTAATTTTTCAAAGAAACTTCCACGCTACTATAATACACCCTTAAAATTTTATATCCGGTTTCGTGATTGCGTTCGGCAACTGCTGATGAGTTTATTTGTTTTAGTCTTAAGGCTCTTTCATGTTCTATGAGCCTAGTTGATGTTTTTCGTCCGGTCTCTCTTTGTCGTATATGCATGGAATGCTGTAAACTCAAATAGCATCTCAAATGGAATTTTGTCTTTGACGGATCGAAGATGTTGAGAGATTTTTGGACAAGTGGCAAATCTGTTTTTGATCTTATATTTCTTTAGAACTTTTGATATGTGGCCAGTGATGACTTGCATCTATTTTGGGATGGAATATCTTTAATGTGGAAATTATTGGAGAGAGGAGCAGAGGCAAGTGTGTTTCAATTCTGGACTCGTGATGAGATAGTTCCCTAAGCAATCCCACACTTGCAACTGTTGTACTTCCTCAAATCAAAAGTTCTAAAGAAATTTAATATCAAAACCAGATTTACCACTGGTCCAAAAATCTATCGACATGTTCGATCCGTCAAAGACAAAATTCCATTTGAGATTACAGCATTCCGTGCATATGCAAAAATGTCAACTAGGCTGAAAGAACATGAATGAGCCACAAGTCAACCGGACATAAAATTTTATTCGATAAAACTAAAATTCTTGCATGTAACCAATTGTTCTAAAAACGAAAATTCCGAGAGTCTATATAAATCTATAAGCAATCTCACAATCTTAACCGCGACTCAGCTCTCTACCGAGACGGTGTTTATGCCGCTCACATAGCTCCGCCCCCCTCAAACAATATGGAAGAAGGTACATAGTAAAGTGCGAAGCAGCACAGAATATTTGCCACAAACATGTTTGAATAACTCTTAATCATTGTGGATCAAAAACTATTTGCTTAATACTTTACAGATATCCTTAAAAATCGGACATCAATAAAAATTAATTGATAACAGCCTAAACGCCGTCAACAAAGCAAACCTTTCCCGCTCTTAATTATTTCACTAATATTATCGTTGCCGCAGGGCGATCTCTTGTGTGTCCCTATCCGCAACTCGAGAGACTATACAAAAGGGTTCTTATTAATTACGGTCATTAGAGTCGACGATCCCCCCGCACATAAAACATAAACTCCTACTCTCATCCCGGGTATCCATTAGCAATTTCCACCTATTCCCGCTAACTTCGCGTTAAACATACTGTACAATGTTTGCCTAGTGGGTAATATTCCAGTCTGCCTGATCGTTTCTCTCGACTTCGCCTTTGTGTCTCCCCCCGGCAGGACGATAAATTTAGTGGACTATTTGAGGGTAGTTTGGTCCGACCAGTGACGTCGAATTTTATTGCGGAGCGTTCTTTCTCAAGTTGCACGTGATAGCATCCCTCCAACCCATGTTTAATAGGTACCGCAATTTTATCCGTCACTAATTATTTTCTACGCAATATATTCAACTAGAAAATAATATATTTACTTTCCAATTTAGAGAAGAGAAAAAATATAATACTGGATTACAGGAAACCCACAAAACTGTTATCAACAACGGAATGTTAGTTCAAAATTCTAGCAGGAACACGAAAATTGATTATTGACATTCAATTTTCAACTTTTTAAGTAAACAAAAAATCCACAATGGTAAACTTATGTTAAGTGTTGGCTTCTTCAGAGCGCAATAACAATTTCAGACAGCACTCTGAAGAAGTCAGCAAAGATTATGTTATGAGGAAGCCACATTACTGAATTAGCAAGCTATAGCTACGCCACTGTGGGAGACCAAAGCAATCCTACTATACTTTGCTCACTTTGCTACCGATTGAAAGCAGTAAGTATAGAGCCCAAGCAGCTCAGTTTCTCAAAATAGGGGCGGGGTATAGGAAATAAATAAATAAATAAATAAAAGGTTGGAAACCGGGGCGCCAGCTATTACAATACCCCAACCTAACTATAATTTAGTGATAGTGACTAGTGTCCTTGCTCACTATCCACCTAACAAACTCACAAAGTTAACAAAGTTCTAGGCAAATAAATAATAAATAAATAAGACAGGCACGTCAGTTTAAATCTCCATATATTGGCTACTGGACCAGATTCTCAATCACAGAATATAAGCAAAATACATTAGACCAGGAGCTCCAAACTGGGAAACTGA